TCCCGATGCTGCGGATTGGGTTTGGTGTTTGGGGTTTGGGGTTTAGGGTTTAGGGTTTACAGGGTTCAGGGTTTATAGGGTTCAGGGTTTAGGGTTTAGGGCTCCCGCAACCCTCAAACCCCAAACCAAACCCCCAGCCCACGTCTGTCAACCCGGATGAGGTCTGCTTGAGATGAATGGCTCAAGCAAGAGACAGCTCGACTCGAATGCCCCAAACGACAAACCCGAATATGCATCCTTATGCTCTGGATGCTCAAAAGGTGCCATGATTTAGAGAACTCCCCCCTACCCACCCTCCCACCCACCCTCAACCTCACCCCCCACCTATAACCCCCTACTTAACCCCCTACCCCCACCCCCCCTGCCCCTTACTAACCCTACCTAACCCCCTACCTACCCTCTCAAAACCCACCCTAAACCGTAAACTTTGGCCCTAAACCCGAAACCCTAAACCCAGGAGCCTTTTGGGGGAGTGCTCCTTTGCAGAGACTGAGGCTTCCAATGGCCTCGCACCCGTCAAAGAGGACGAGGCACTTGTGGCTTTTTGGGTTTAGGGTTTGGGGTTTAGGGTTTGGGGTTTAGGGTTTAGGGTTTGGGGTTTAGGGTTTAGGGTTTGCTGTAATGCTGTAGAGATTGGACGCAGACTGGGCTCGAAAGCTTGTGAATGGCGACGAGCGGCCATGGCCCGATTGCGGGGGGCCATCGAACATGTTCATCCCACCCCACGCCGTCGAAGGCGGCAAAGCCCCAAACCTATTGAACTCACTGGCTTGCAATTTTTGCTTTGAGTGAGTGCTGGGCCCTGGCCCAAATTTGCAGAGTCAGATTAGCAAACCAAGATGAGCAACCAAGAGTCGTGGGGGGGGGGGGGGGGGGCGAGGGGCACGATGCTTTGGGACGCTGCTTGCGTCTCAGGCGGGGAGCCGACAAAGAAGCGGGCAAAAAAAAGAAGCCGCGGGCCTTGGAAAGCCCTTGGAGGGCCTTGGACCCTAAACCCTAAACCCCAAACCCTAAAGCAGGCGTGAGAAGGACTTCGGGAGCGGTGCCAGAGGTCGCGGAGGGGTCCAACCCGCGCTGAGCTGCTGCAGCGAGGGTCCGGCCCATGCCCTGGGTTTACGAGCCAGCACCAGGGCCCGTCGTGGGTGCCACCGACCTCCGAGCTGTGGGAGGCGGGCGAACGACCTGCTTATTGTTTAGGGTTTAGGGTCCCTACAGCTCCTAACCCAATCGAATCTCATGCTTGCTGTAGGGGTTCTGGGGTTTCTGGGTTTCTGGGTTTCTGGGTTTCTGGGTTTCTGGGTTTCTGGGTTTCTGGGTTTCTGGGTTTCTGGGTTTCTGGTGGGTTTAGGTCTGTCTGGGTGCTGCTGCAGGTCTTATGGTATAAGGTTCGGGGGCTAAAAGGCCTATACGGATGTCCGGGGTTTCGGGTTTGGCCCTTCGAGAGAGAGAGTGTGTGTGTGTGTGTGCTAGGTTTAGAAGTTGTGGGGTGCCTTGAGGTGTTGACCTTGGTGGAGCACATTCAGCACCATGTAGGGCAATGTGGAGATTCGGCACCAGGAAGGGTGACATAACATGCAAAACAGAAGAGAGCTCCAGCCGATAAAGCACGTGTGGCCCCGAATCCCGGATGCCCCCCTCGGAAATGGTATGCGGGGTTGCGGTAGGCGGGTTTGGAGATGCAACCCTTGCCGCCCTTCTGCTTCTGGAACCCCAGCACCCCACACACACCCTATTCCCAGTAGGGTCATGAGATCTGAAGCGCATCCAAAGCTGCGCTTCGCATGTGCTAATTTGGGGGTGTCTGATATTCGGGGTACCTTAAAGGGGTCCTTAATATACGGGAATCCTACAATTTGAGGTCTGTATTTTGGGGGCCTCTTATGTTCGTACACCCCCCATTTCAATTGCGCCTTGAATTTGTCTGCCTTGTAGCTTTTGATGAAGTTTAGAGTTCTGTTTTTGCTGTCAATCATATATTGTTGTATTTGCGGTCTAGGATTGCGGGGTTAACAATGTAGGGCCTCGGCAGCTGTCATCGAAAAAAGGGAATTGCGTCTGCTGCCGAGGATCCAGCGACCCCTGAGGCATTGGGTGGGGTTGGAGTTCACCGCGAATTCGACATGCTCCCCCCCCCCATCCTAGATCACCCTCCAGCGCAGTCAGTCCCAAAATGTGCCTAAAACACCCTGCCGAAAGCCTTCCAGAACCCTATATAGATTAGACCCTACCTAAGCCTTTCTGCGTCGCGGTTTTCCTAGAGGCTCTGAATCTTTTTGCGACCCTCGACCCTAAACCCTAAACCCAGCAGCCCCTTATCCATTATCCCGCCTTTGGCTGTCGAAGGCCTTTGGTCGCAAATGAGCGGTAAGCTGGTGGCTTCGGGGTTCATGTGATCACGATTGTCATGAGATGGGGTTTGGTGTTAAGGGGCTTGTTGGATGAGGAGCATCCCTAAGCATTGCAACCTCATAACCCACAAGACCGCACCCTGGCCGACCCAAAAAACAAGCGAGTGGCGGGGTTTAGGGTATGCGGGCATGGTATCTTTTTCAAAGCATTGGCCCCCGTGGCCCCTGACGCAATAATGCCTCCGGCTTCTCATGTCGGCGGAACTTCTGCAACCATTGCGGCCTCAAACCCTCAACTCCTGAGCGCGTTAGCCCCTAGGCCCTAGAGCCCTTAAAGCCCCGAACCCTTCAAGTCATGAGCCTGGTCAGAGGCGAAGACAAAGCCGCAGCTCCCTTGGTGGGGTTGAGGGTTTACACTTTAGGGTAAGGAGGGCAGGTGTGGCAAAACCCAGTTCTAACCCTGCTTGATCTTCTTTGAGGGAACTCGACTACCCCATGAATCTAAATAGGGTTCACAGGATTAGGCCCGGATAGGGTTTTTGTATCTGACCCCGTGCTTGGTGCCACATACGATCACAGGAGTCTGTAATAGCGCAATCCGCCCCTCCTACACCACCCTGCTTAAGACTTCCGTGTCAAGTTTTTCGACAGTTGAATATCATCTCAGCACAGCCTTGTAGGCATTCCCAAGAGTCAGAAGAGTCTCTTCAAACACTCGTGTTCGTTGGTGGCAGGACGAACTCCCAAGGCAATGCCGGGCGCGGCCCTACTATACCAATTGATGCCACTTGGGTAGTTCTCCTTATTGGGGTGCGTAGTCTAACGGGTGCCGTATTTCGTATGGGTCTCCGAATGAAAGACCCCTGATTAGAAAACTACCCGTTGCCTCTCAACCCTACAAGCTCTGCAAGCCGCATATTGCCAAGAACCAAACCCATATGCCCATATCCCCCAAACCCTTTGAGCCCCCAAGCAACTCCCTTTGAGCCGTCAGTCCCCCAACTCACCCTATGAACCCACAGCGTATAGACTACCCTAGTTAAATTAGCCCTAAAGCACTTACTAAAACCTACGAACCCTGTTCCCTGTAAACCGTATACAGTATAAACCCCAAAGCCCTACAAACCTCTAGCTAAACCCCTCCATCCTACACCCTATGAACCCTATACACCGTACAAACCCTAAACCCTGAACCCTAAACCCTAAACCCTAAACCCTATGAAATAACAACTTAAAACGCAAGCCGTGGCGTTTGCTGAGGCCGAGCAAGGCCAAGTCCGTCTTGGCGCAGTCGACAGCTGCAGACCTAGAGGGTGTAGGATCCAGTGGGGTTAGGGTTTAGGGTTGAGGGTTGAGGGTTGATCTAGGGTTCAGGGCATAGGGTTTACATAGTGTTCAAGGTTTAGGGTTTAGGGCTCAAGGTTGAGGGTTTAAGGGGTTTAGAGTTTCAGGTGGGTATGCTTTCGGGCTAGGGCTTAGGCTTGCGTTGGGTTTATGGTAAATAGACAGGGGGGGGGGGGGGGGGGGGCAATGGCCCCCTGAGCATAACCTGCTTGGAGGATAGGATGCACCTGAGGATTCCATTAAGGACAGGTCAATGGTTTCAAGGGATCCCCAAAAACTCAGCCACGGGACGCCTCAGGGTGTACGACTAATGTTGTCGGTGTGTTGTCAGTTCTCGAAATGATGGGTGTTTGTGGGTACAGAAGTGTCTACGGTATACGCACTTATTATCATATCAGAGAAGCCACAGAAGAGACCAGAACTAGAGCAACCCGCTATTTAGCATGACGACTCCGCACAGCAAATGCTTCTTCACCTCTTGAGCATAGTTTTCCAAATACCGAATGTGTTTTCAAGCTGACTCTAAGAATTGACAGCTTCGGACCTATGTTCTGGCAACCCTTATAGTCCAGTACCTCAAAACCAGTTCAAACATCCAGAGCAGTAGCGGTTTTTTAACAAGCCTGAAGCCAAAGCTCTACGTACCGAAAAAGCTTGCGGCACGACTACCTCGAAAGGTTCGGAGACAAGCCGGGATTTCCTCGCATGTCCGGCCTTGTGCAGAGAATCCACAGACACAATCTGAGCTACGTTGTCCCTAGCCCCCTGTGCCTTTAAACCTCAGCCTCCAGCATCCCACTATATACACAGTCGCAGTGCGAGGATGACTATAAGCTTGCCACATCCTTGAAGCGGAAACTATTCAGTCGCGCTTCTCCTGCGAAACCCTGAACCCTAAACCCCCCCCGCATGATCCCATGTACCACCGAGAGTCGAAGTTAGATGAAGCCATGCTCGGCGGCTGCAGGGCTCTTATGCACAACAAAGATCTCATGGCTTATGAGACAGGATCTCAAGCCCAGCCCCCCCCCGCCCCCATCTCCCCCCAACCCTCAATGAAGTGGCCAATGGCCCACATATTCAAGCCCTCAGTACGAAGATGAGAAGGAGAGGATAGAGTTCGATAGTTGTTTGACACTAGCAACTCTCCCCCCCACCCTCCACCCCCCCCACCCTCCACCCCCCCACACCCTCCACCCCCCCACACCCCACGCCACACACACAAAAAACAACAAAATGGGACACTGATTGCAATATCAACCTTCCCAGCTGTTACTCCGGCATGGCCTGGCACTGTCCCGTGGCAACATGCAGCGGGTGCGCACCAACCGCCGGTCACTTGCCACGCAGACAGGCTTGAGACCCCCAAGTTGTAGTTCAGCTCTTTTTGGGGGGCTGCCTATATGGTTGTAGCTTGTAGAATATTGAGAGCATCGCATGAACAAGTTAATCAGATGCCCTGCCTTAGATGTTAGAATCGCAGCGTTTTGAAATCGCCGCGTTTGGGGAAAGACCGAATCGCGCGATTTGAATGGGTATGTATAAGGGTTGAGAAAGAGGCTTCAAGGAGAACTTGAAGGGGGAAGCTAAATGATTTTTCTGGGTTCATTAAAGATCTTTCGAGCAGCTCCGTTGCTTAAACCTCTCGTAATTTCCCTACCCTCGACTCCGGTTTAAGGTTGAGGCTTGAGGGTTTAGGGTTTAGAGTTTAGGATTGAGGGTTGAAGGTTGAGGGTCGAGGGTGGATATTTGGTGCTCGACCCCCCCCCCAACCCTTCAGAAGAACCAGGTTCTAAACACTTATCCTAAGTCTTAAACCCATGAAACTTGAAGGGAAAACATCAGAAATGATTTTTGCCAGGGCCTGCAAAAATCATTTCGTGCTCACCCCCCCCCACCCCACCCCCACATCAGAAGGACCAGATTCGGTACAAACCAAAAAAACACACAGTGCTCTCGGAAGTAAGTCGTTGAACATGGTACTTTTCTGGATAGATTCCTCAACCTGACTGTTCATACATGGAAAAGCCTAGCTTAGAGCCTAGAGCCTAGATTCTCAAGGCTAAGCTCTCAATCCTAGCCCCTAAACCCAAAACCGTGCAAAAAAAAAACACCCAGCTCGAACATAAATGATACTGCCACAACGAAGACACAAGTGCCATGGATGGAGCCCTGTAAAACCTAAAGCCGACACTCCTACATGGTGAAACTCAAAAGAAACAAAATCCTGCATCTCAACGGGCTCCAGCTTCGGCAGGCCTGAAGACTGTCACACGTCGCGGAAGACAGAAACCTGGAATCTGAATTGTGCTTGGATCGCTTCAAATCGCCAACAAATCGCTGCAAATCGTAGGGCAACTTGGAAGTCAAAGGACCATGCCCACAAGTTTGCTAAGAAACCCTGATCTTAAGGCCTGTTAGCCCTAAACTCCAAAAACCTTGAAGGGAAAACATCAGAAATGATTTTTGCCAGGGCCTGCAAAAATCATTTCGTGCTCACGCCCCCCCCCCCCCAACCCCACCCCCACATCAGAAGGACCAGATTCGGTACAAACCCAAAAAGCACACAGTGCTCTCGGAAATAAGTCGTTGAACATGGTACTTTTCTAGATAAAATCCTCAACCTGATTGTTTCATATATTGAAAAGCCTAGTTTGGGTTGTGCGAGAGGGTGTTTAGCTTCCCTAAACTCTAAACTCTTACTCAAATATACATGAAAGAAAATCTGTACTTCGCTACGTGCGAGTTTCGAGACCAATGAGGGCCTTCGAATGGCTCCGTAAACTGAATTTCCAAACAACTGAAGGCTTTCCAGCACCTCTCTGAATCTAAGTTTCCGGTTATTCAAGGCTTCCTAAAAGCGCCTCTGAACTTGAACTTCTGAAATCGTGAAAAAGTCCTTGGGCCCAAGCTGGCTAAATGATCTTTCCCAAACCCGCAAAAATCATTGAACCCACTTCTCACGAGTGCTTCTTGAAAGCAGCACAAGCTGCGATTTGGCATTGGAAACCCGAATCGCGCGATTTGCGTTTCCAACGGTTGAATACGACCAAATAAGAAGCGATTTGGGCCTGCGTGTTTAAATCGCAGCGATTTGATTCCGCGATTTCATCTTCTAAGTGCCCTGCCCCTAACAATGAATTAATTACGGTTGCGGGTCTAGGTACAGGGTTTTGTGCTCGTGGTTCAAAAGATTGTGGTGAATTGCGCCTTAGGGTTTGAGGGTTTTGAGGTTTAGGATTTTTGGGGTTTTGGGATTTTTTCAGTGTTTCAGGTGTTGGGGTTTTGGGGTCTGGAAGCGTGGACACTCAGGCTTTGATGCAACTCCAGTCTCCGTTTCCGAAAGTAAAGAGCCCATAACCGGCCATCAGATCCAAAACGACTGAGGGGTGCAATTGTCCGAGTTTTGTAAACCCTAAACCTTGAACCCTAATTAAACCTTGAACCCTAAACCTTGAACCCTGAACCCTTTGAACCCTAAGTTGGGTTTCCTAGAGCGGTGCGTGGGCCCAACCCACCCCAGGCCCTTTGTAAAAGTCTCCTCGGGAAGTTGTGTCGGTTTTGGTTTAGGGTGTAGAGTTTCGGGCTTCGGGTTTAGGGTTTGGGAGTGTAGGGTGTAGAGTTTATGGCTTAGGGTTGGGGATTTGGGGTGTTGGTTTAAGGTGCAGAGTTGAGGGCGTTTAGGGAGTGTAAAGCCCGAAGAAAGGCTTTGTAGCTTCTCAGGCCATCGAACTGAAGCCTACACCCCAAACCCTAAGCCCTGAACCAGAACCCCTGAACTTCTGGATTCTGGGAGCTTGCCCCGAGCCTCCGAACTCTACATGCCTCATGCCTTGGTAGCCCAGTGGTTACCCTTTGACTTTTTTTTTGGTTCAAGGTTCCCTTGCAAAGTAACCAACCAAAAAGGGGGTACCCGTGTTGTAAGATGGTTAATTGCTGGGCTACCAAGATACCCCCATCCTACTCCTCACAATAGTAGATGCCCCTCAACACTCCCTTCCCCTGCAAGATAAAGCATGAAAGGAGACATCAGTACAGCCAAGACCTGAAAGCCCAGGCCACAAACCCGTTGATATCCGAAGCCTTGTAAACGTGCTTGTAACCCCTAGGTGAGGGTTTACGAAAAAAGTAAGAGACCCCTAACAGAGACCCCCACATAGTAGGATTCCCATATAAAACGGGCCCCAATAAGGTGCCTTGAATATCCCATATACCTACCCCAAAAAAACCTGAACCCCGAACCCTAAACCCTAAACTCTCAACCCTAATAAATAGCTGAGCCGAAATTCCACATCCGACGAGGAGGCTCCTTGGCTCCTCGTCCAGCGACTCGAAGAAAGCCAAGTCAGATTGTTCCAAGGCCGCTTCGATAGGGTTTATTACAGGGTGTGTAGGCCTTTTGGGGTTTATAGGGTTTATAGCAGTTTTTAGGGTTTAACGGGCTTATAGGGTTTACAGGGTTTGGGGTATGAGCTTGGGGGTTCATAAGGTGCAAGGTTCAGGGTTTAAGGTTTCGGGTTCTTGGATGGCTCTCCCTTTTAAACCTGGTGTTCTCCAGTTCGGGCTGGGCGACTGCAGGCCAAAAAGTTTGAGATGTCAACCCACCTCAAGCCCTGAACCATAAACCCTAACCTTCCTAAACCCAAGCCATCTAAACCCCAACCCCTAAATGAGGGTTTTGCGGGTTTGGGTGCTGGGGGTTAAGTGGGCAATCTTGCCTGCAGTCCAGGGTACCAGCGGTTTGCAGGACATAGGGCACTCGTGATACGTACATATATGTATATATATATATATACTTGTCAACATATACATATACATGTATGTTGAGACTGAAAATGTACTACAAAAGAGCCGTTCTACAGCAACTAGTTGGCAAAGTGTTCTTAGCCTCATTCCGGCACAGGCCTTCGTCCAACTCAATCGGCCAGTGGAAAGCCCAGCGATGGCAATCCCAATGTCGGTACCCGTGTCGTCTCTGCCATCCACTGCCGACGACCAGGTGTTCAAGGGTCTGGGGTTCACTGAGTGGCTCTTCATAGGGAATCCGGGAATTAGGTTCAATAGGGTTTGAGGTACCTACTTGTTTTTTTCATGAATAAGAACCAGCAAGGCAAACCCCAAACCCTATCGCCCTTAAGGTTGGTGTGTGGAGAGAACCACTCTGCGCGGACTGCGCGGTTTAGGGACCTCCCCCCCCCCAGCTCTCTGCTTTGGGAAGCAAGCGGCTGGTGAACCCGAAACCCTTGTAACCCGAGAAAGTCACAAATACTCTCCCCTTTCAACCCCTCTAGGGTTCTTGTAGAGACTGCGCAAAGTACCACTGCAATGGACGGCACCCTACGGACCCTAAACTCGAACTCATATATCACTACGGGCCCAAGTACAAGAGTCCAAGACACCAGAAGCATCTCAGCAGGATGAGGTCGGTGAATCATGTGAGGGCAGTGAGACCAAAGACCCCATCCCCCCCCCCCCCCCCCCCCGCCACCCCAAACTTCAACCCTAAACCCTAAACCCCCAAAAACCTTCAAAAAGCGAAATTGTCACCTCAAACCTACTAGCCCATAAACCTTGGCAGGAGCCTTTCTCTCCTCTTCTAATCCTCCGTATCTCCATTCTTGGTCTGTCAGTTAATCTTGGAGCGACCATGTAAGTGCTGTACAGAAGAAGCCGAAGCCCGCAAGCTTTTGCTGAACCACCCAAACCCTAACCCGAAGTTACTTTGTGCGCAGCTTCCCCCGCTGTAAGGTCGCTTCTAGGAGCCAAAATCGGGCAGGAGGAACTAGGGCTCTGACCTTGTCACCCACAATTTCGGATTGCGGGTCTAGGGACACTGGGCTTCAGAATGAAGGGTGTCTTGCTGGCAATAGATGCCTCAGAACCCACCTTATCAAATCAGCCGTTGGGGGTTCGAATCCCCGCTTTGTGCCGAAGCCCCAGTATACCCGTCACTTGGCATGTTCCCCCTGATGCTAGCAGTCCTTAATGGGAATAGAATAGGGGGTACTATCATCCTCATGAAGGACTACTTAAGTATATGGGGGAACATCCCAGCCCGTCACCTTCACTTCTGCAGGCTCGTTTGCCACTGGCAGCCACGCAAGCGTCCGCTGCTGCGCCGCCGGCAGCGACTGGGCCGGCTGAGACCAGACGACAGTGGCCCCTGGGCTTGTATCACAGGGGTCGGAAGAATTGCTCATGATATTCCCTTATGGTCCCTTTGTAGTTATACGATAAGAACCCCCCCACCCCCCAAAAAAAAACTTATACTAATTATTCAGGCATGGAGTATGGGGTTCAGGTTTTCGGGTTTAGGGCTGATAGGACTGCATGAAAGCACAAGCGCCGATAAGGAGAGTGTCCGAGGAGCCTTGCTTGGCGTCTGGTGGTTCACAAGGCTTCTAGTACCACTGGAATTTAGGGTTTAGGGTTTAGGGATTAGCGACAGGTGTGGTTGGAGATTTGTTTGCGGGGAGTCCAGAATATTGGTAAAGGCTCATGGGCTTGCCCTTTGTGTGTCACTCCAATTGCAGGTTCCTCGGCAGGTGTCGATGTTCTGTAACGGGGTCGAAACTCTGCTTGGGGATTTGTTCTCACATGTCTTGGCCTGCCATGTTTCATACTTAGTCATACTTCCTGCTGGCTCTTATTCGGGATGCTTGGGGTTCAGGGTTGTATGGCCTTGAGGCCGAACAACCCTAAGCCCTAAACCAACTCTTTGGGAGCATTTGGGATCAAGGGTTTAGGGTTTTGGGTTTTGGGTTTAGGAGTAAGTCGAGTCCCCAGCCAAGGAAGGACTCCTCAGGCCGGCCCCCGTGTTCGCGCGCTTTGCGTTGCCAGTGGCCTCGATGGTTGCTCCCCCATTGGTGGCATGCATACCGGTGTAAACTGTGGGGTATAGGGTTTCGGGTTTAGGCCGCAATATCGTCGCAGAATCCAGGCCCACAAGAGAAGCAAGCCAGCAAGCAACCAAGCAAGAAAGTATCCTAACACGACACGCCGCGACTGTCCTCCTACATACATGCGGTTCCAAGGTGGAACATGACGAGTTTGTCAGCACTTAGACATTCTACTGAGAAATGCTCAGTCAAAGCTAGAAGGGCCAAACTAAGCAGCAACATCATATTGAACTGCACGAAGTACCACCTCGATGCCATTGACGGAAGTTGTGGCAAGGCTTGTGACGGTTCCTGGAACAGAAAATTCTACAAGCCCTAAAGCCCTAAAGCCCAAATACCTTAAACCTTAAACCCTAAACCCTAAACCCTAAAACCCTCAACTCGCATGCTGCAGATGCTCGGGGCACCGTTGTCGAGAAGCTACGGGAGCGCCTGGACACGCTGCGAGATCCCAGGACCGCAATACGCGAGTCCGTTTTAGGGTTTAGGGTTTATAAGGGTTTATGATGGTTTATAAGGGTTTATAAGGGTTTATGAGGGTTTAGGGTTCAGGGTTTAGGGTTTAGGGCGACGATAAGCCTTCATCGGGTTTAGGGTTTATGATTTCGGGTTCATAGGGCTAGGCGTCCTGTGGCTAAATAACCCTCACAGGGCTTCAAGCTCTCGGAGTTGGGAGATTCAGAGTGCTTGATAATCTTTGGAATCTTCGTAGTTACGCGTAATGCTTTTAATGTTTCGGTGCATGCCCAGGTCCCTGAAGCCAGACCCGAACATGTAGCCAAGATCCCCTAGTCGGTGCTTTCTCAACAGTTCAACGAACCATCTAGACGCTAGGCCCTAGACCCTGAGCCCTGAGCCCTACACTCCAAACCCTCAAACCCTGAGGCCTGAACCCTACCCCCCTGAAGCCTAAACCCCCCGCACCCTACATCTCTTCGGCACACCCTAAAACCTAAACCCTAGACCCCAGAACCCTAGAACCCTAATGTTAACCTAGTATTACTAAAGCCCCTAATATTAAAGTACGCCAGGTGTCCCGGCCGCAATAATAAAGCCCTGGAAATAAAGTACGCCAGTCGGGGCATGGTTCCTGGAAATTCCTGCCTGAAAAAAAACTTCAAATGATCGCTTCATGGTTTCATTAGGTTTAGGGTTCATGCCTTAGGTTTACTTGGGTTTTGTGGAGTCTTGTTGAATTAGGGTTAAGGGTTTAGGGTTTAGGGCTAGGGTTAGGGTTTAGGGATAAGGGTATGGCCTGGTCTCTAAATCCGGGGGCCCCTGCAATTAAAGTCTTAGGGTTTAGGGTTTTGGGTCTGGGGTTTAATTAGGGTTAAGGGTTTAGGGTTTAGGATTTAATTAGGAAAACATGAAGCGATCAGATTTCGAAGAGAAACCTGAAAACCAAACTCCTCAGAAACTTGCTGATTTTTATTTGAGAGCCTTACTAAAGGATTGAAAAAATCTTTCTGGCAAAGGGGGTAGCTTTGGAGGCCGGTGCCCTGGAAATAATCCTGAAAGATTTGCCCCTCCGAATAAAGTTCCTGGAAATTCTTGCCTGAAAAAATTCTTCAAATGATCGCTTCATGGTTTCATTAGGTTTAGGGTTCATGCCTTAGGTTTACTTGGGTTTTGCGGAGTCTTGTTGAATTAGGGTTAAGGGTTTAGGGTTAGGGTTAGGGTTTAGGGATAAGGGTATGGCCTGGTCTCTAAATCCGGGGGCCCCTGCAATTAAAGTCTTAGGGTTTAGGGTTTTGGGTCTGGGGTTTAATTAGGGTTAAGGGTTTAGGGTTTAGGATTTAATTAGGAAAACATGAAGCGATCAGATTTCGAAGAGAAACCTGAAAACCAAACTCCTCAGAAACTTGCTGATTTTTATTTGAGAGCCTTACTAAAGGATTGAAAAAATCTTTCTGGCAAAGGGGGTAGCTTTGGAGGCCGGTGCCCTGGAAATAATCCTGAAAGATTTGCCCCTCCGAATAAAGTTCCTGGAAATTCCTGCCTGAAAAAAATCTTCAAATGATCGCTTCATGGTTTCATTAGGTTTAGGGTTCATGCCTTAGGTTTACTTGGGTTTTGTGGAGTCTTATTGAATTAGGGTTAAGGGTTTAGGGTTTAGGGTTGAGGGTTAGGGTTAGGGTTTAGGGATCTGATCCTCTCTAATTCTCTCTAAGGAAAGGAATCCTGAGTGATTCTCTCTGATCCTCTCTAATTCTCTCTAAGGAAAGGAATCCTTATTCAAAGGGGCCCCCTACTCTATTTGGGGGGGTTTGATTGAAGGGCCGGGGGGGGGGGGGGTTATTATTACTAGGTCAACATTAAACCCTGAAACGCAGAACCCTAGAACCCTGAACCTAATGTATAAGTTGGACAGATGTCAGGCCTGTCAACCTGGACATGGCACGCTGCAAGCATGAGCTTCGACTGGGTGAGGAGCCGTTGTGCCGATTTTTGGCGTGGGTTTGGGCAACTTGGCGTTGTGGATCCTAAACCCGAAGCCCTTAGCCCTTAGCCCTAAACCCTAAACCCTAAACCCTAAACCCTAAACCTCAAGGGTTTAGGGCTCTTGAGGAGGACCTGTGGTCTTGTGGGGACTTAAAGTTCGCCTGGGGGGATGTTTTCCCAGAGGCCCGAAATCTTCCGTTTGCCAGGGTTTAGGTCTCCGCCTCTAGGGGGTTTAGCGTTTAGTTCTTCTGAAATCAGGGTTCAGGGTTCAGGGTTCAGGGTTTAGGGTTTAGGGTTTAGGGTTTGGGGTTTGGGGTTCAAAAAATTGGGCTTCTAACGGTCTTGTAGGTCTGTTTCTTTCTCCAGCGGTGCCGGTGTTGGGGATATTTGGCAAAGACTGAAAGACCATGGGCGAGCACAGATGACCAGCTCTGCCGCTTCTTGCAGGATGCGCTGTACTTCCCCTTTCCGCCCATGCCTCCGCAGTGCCAGGCGCGCTGAGAATGGACTTCCGTTCTCAAGCCCTAAACCCTACACTCCCGGGACAAAACGGCCTGGACAGTCGGGTGGTCCTTTCTGAAACAGGGTCCACATTACTGTTATTGGTGAGTGTATTTAAGGTTCCTGGTTAATAGGTGAGTGTATGTATTGGGTGTCTTTTTGGGGGTACAAGAAATATAAATCCCTACTTCATATAGGCTATCGGCTGTTGTCTACAGGCCTCGGGCTTTCATGAACGGGCCGGTCAGTCAGTGATGCTGATTTTATGCAGGGTGACCGGTGACCCCTAAACCCAAGTGTCTAAGACCAAATCCTAAAGCCCTAAACCCGAAACCCGAAGCCCTGAACCCTGAACCCGAAACCCTAAACCCTAAACCCCAAGCCCGAACCTTGGCGAAGGTTGCGGCCTATGCCGTGAGGGCATGTGACCGTGGGGGTATCGTGGGGGACTCGGGCTTGCCATTACAGGGTTTAGGGTTTAAAGGGTTAAAGGCTTAGAGGGTTAACGGGTTTAGGGTTGAGGGTTTAGGGTTTAGGGTTTAGATAGTGAGAAAAGTGTGAGAGAAGATGGGAGAGATAACTGGAAGTATTGAGGAAGGAATGTAGATACGGACTCACGAACATGTTCTTCTCCCTTCACTATTCAGCGCATACGGGCGTTGTTCTAAACATATGACTCGGGGCTTACTTTGGGTTCGGAGCTCCAAGGGTTTAGGGTTCCGTGGTCTTTGGGACTTTGCTGCGCTCTTGGGGATCTCGGGCAATGAAACTTCCGCTCATCGTACTAGCTTCTCAGGCCGAACACAAAGCTACCTCTGATGTTCGCGAGCGATGTCTATCTATCTCTCTGTGGATCTACGTGTATGTACGCATGATGATGTAAGGCAATGTTCTGCAAGAGGTGGTGCAGCTCGCTGCAGTCAGACGTCTGAACATGCGCAGAGTAGGAAGTCTAGATTTCTAGCCGTTTGAGGCAGTTGCCGAGCGGGCTCAGGGTCAAGGGTTTCTAATGTATTTTCGAGAACCAGCCCGTTCTCTATTTAGGATGCGAAGGTCCTTGGTAATTCAACCCTAAACCCTAAACCCTCAACCCTTAACCCCTCATCCTCCACGGCGCCAACACTTGGAAAACTCCGCAGTCTGCGCAACTGAGGCCATGCTTCAGTCTCCCACAGGTCGGCATCTAAGAGCTATAGAGGGGGAGGGGAGCCGCCACACGTCGGCTTACTCCCTGAACCCTCTTTAAAGTAGGGTCCTTATGGGGGTCCTTAGTTTTCGGCCTTTCGCGAGCTTTATGCCTAAGCACAGCCGGGGATTCGATGAGTAGCTCGGTAGGTAGCATGCTCTGAGTCGGAGGACTCAGTCAACCCTAAACCCTAATAGCTCTCTAGACCGAAGCTTTCCTTCCCGGCCTCAGAGCCCCTCGGCACCCCAAGAACCTTAAACCCTAACTTAGGAAAACTACCCTTCACACGGGAGTGCTCTCTCAACCCGAGGCTGCGTGGCCTTAAGCCCCTGAAGAGCTAGCTCACGGTTTCGGGTTTCGGGTTTAGGGTGTTGCGGGAGGCGCTTGGCCCCGAAGCCATCTTAAAAGCTGTGATGCCACAGGGCCCCCAATCCGAGTTCGATGCGTAAGATGCATGGATGCCTATAAACCCGGAAAAACCCTGAGTTCCCCAGGCCTGTCTGTGTTCACTCCTGCACTATGATCCCCTAAAGTCGGCTTTCGGGTATGTTGAGTTTGGAGGCTTGGCCCCTAAACCGGTAAACCCACTGCTCTGAGGGATTGGTTCAGGGTTCAGGGTTAGGGTTTAGTGCTTAGGGTTTAGGGTGGGTTTAGGGCGGGTTTAGGGCAATTTCCCGTGAAAGAAAGATCACTTGTGAGACGAGAGGAACTGGAAAGAGCTTGGCGCTGCTTTGTTCGACGCTTGCTTGGCAGAGGAGGCAGGTTGCCTACTCCTTCGTACTCCTTCGTTTGGTGCTTTCGGCACGGGGGGCGAGGCCTGTGGAGCCTTGCCGAGTTGTTTCGTTCTGAACCCTAAACGGTTTAGGAAGCTAGCGCCTTTGATTCTGACCAATTGATGCCCGCCCCAGGCTTGTTATGTAGTTTTTGCGAGCAAGTCTGTTCTCGTTGCCCCTTAATTCCTATACCCTATACCCTAAACCCTAAACACGCCCTCAGGAGTAGGAGCTGCTCTCTCCAGTATCAGGTGTCGTAATGGCTCGAGCTACTATAGGGGTCGGAATAATTGCAAATAGTGTTCCCTTATGGCCCTTCGGTAATTCGACTAAAATAACCCCCAAAACCCAGGTCTAATTATTATGCCCCCATAGTGCTCGAAAAAGCACGGGTCTCGGGCGTAGTCGGCCCTTCTTCACTTTATTGTAGGCCTTTCGCTGGCTTCATATCTAAGGAAAAAAGCACAGGCGGGTAGCATGCTCAGGGGCGAGAGGGATGAAATGATGCGTCGGAGGACCCTCAGCCCTAAACCCTAAACCCTAAGCCCTCTATACCGAAGCTTTCGTTCCAGGCCTCAGAGCCCCTCAGGCACCCCAAGAACCTTAGACCCTTTGTAGGTGTAGGGTTTATCGAGTTTAGGGTTCAGGGTTCAGGGTTTAGGGTTGGTTTAGGGATTAGGGTCAGGGTTTGGGGTTGGTTGGCTCATGTCCTTGCAGGCGGCTCCTGGCGACGGGCTCTGCGCCACAGATTCTCTATGGTGTACCCCGGGCAGCAGATGAAGTTCTTTTGGTTGGTTGCATTTGGGGTGCGTGGGATTTTAAGCCTAAAAATTCCGTATTTTCACGGGTTTGGCAGGTTCCAACACTACGAAAAGCTCTGAAAAAGCACTAAAGTCGTAAAGTTCGAAAAGTTCTAAAAAGATCTGAAAGTTCTAAAGCATTAAGAGTTCCAAAAGTTCCAAAGTTTGAAACGCTCTATAGTTTTTAAAAGTAAAAAAAGATTCAACGGTTCTAAAAGTTCTAAATGATCTAAAAGTTCTGAAAGATCTAAAAGATCTAAAAGTTGTGAAAGTTCTGGAAGATCTAAAAGTTCTGAAAGTTCTAAAAGTTTTAAAAGTTCTCAAAGTTGAAAAGTTCTAAAAGTTGAAAAGGTTCTACCGGCTGCAGGTTCTGGAACATCTCCGTTCTCCTAGATTTGCGAGAGCTTTAAAACGCTTAGACTTTGTAGAACTTTGAGAACTTTAGGGTTTAGGGTTTAGGGTTTAAGTGCTTGGATTTTTTACAGGAGCAGCGTTTAGAGCAAGCTGTAAGAGTTCCAAGAGTTCTCAAAGTTGTACAAGTTCCAAGAGTTCAGACAGTTCATGAAAAAGAGTTAAACGTTCAAAAAGTTGTAAAGTTAAAACACAGTCTAAACGCTATACAAGTTCTTGAAGTTCTAAAAGATTCACAAGTTCCAAAAGTTCTCAAAGTTCTAAAGCTCCAACAGTTCCCAATGATCTAACGGCTCTACAAGTTCTAGAAGCTCCACAAGTTAAAACAATTCGAAAAGTTCCAAAAGTCCGAAAAACTTCGAAAACTTGCAAAAGTTCTAAGGTTCCAAAAGCTCTAAAAGTTCTATAAGTTCTGTTCTATAAGTTCTCGAGCTTGCAAAACTCCAAAAGTGCGAAAAGTTCCACAAGTTCGAAGACTTCGCATGTTCCACAAATTTGAAAAGTTCTCAAAGTTCTACAAGTTCTATAAGTTCGGCTGCGCTGCTTCAGAGCTATGCTATGAGCTGTCCTGAGAATTTGCAAAACACACAATGCGTGTTACTTCGTGCTTCAAAACCTGCTACTAGATTTTGTTGCACATAAACATTCGAATAGCCAAAGACGCCCGAGTCCAATGCGCGGGGGCCCGCCTCCCGGTAACTCCCAGCCCGCATATGCGCACACAAATGTATTAAAAGCTCTCTAAAAGCTCTTACATTTGTAAAAGTTCTAAAAGTTCCATAAGTTCTAAACGTTCTAGAAGTGCCAAAAGTTCTAAAAGTTCCAAAAGTTCCAAAAGTTCTACAAGTTCTAGAATTTCCAAAAGTTCTAAATGTTCTAAAAGTTCTGAAAGTTCTACAGGTTGTGGAAGTTCTCGGCGGTCTCGACAAAAACCGCCGCAAACACGAAGGGATTCACCCAAAAAAACCCACACACCCCAAACGCAACCAAGGCAGTCCCACGCACCCCGAACGCAACTAGCGCCTTCTTTTTTGATTCCTGGGGGTTGGGAGTGACAAAGTGGGATATACTACAGGCTTCGCAAGTTAGGCTCTATAGGGCTGAAGTACGCTACGTTCAACATGGAAGGTTGACCTGTTTGCTTGTGGCAATGCAAACCACTGCAGGGAAACGTTTAGGAAGTCGGCCGAAAATACTGCTTTTCATCGGGGCGAAGCATAGTACAGGTACATTTCGTGACCCGGCTGGATTTTCATGGATTTGTAACACAAGCTTAGCGGAATCGACGTTTCCGTGAGACGGCCGGATTTTCATTGATTTGTAGTACAAGCTTGACGGGAGTGCCCTTTCACCCTTTCCCTCCAGATAACGAAAGCTGGCTTAGACATGTTCGGTTCTTCGACCTTACATAGACTACTTGTAGGAGAACTTACATAGACTACTTGTAGGAGAAAGGAGATGGAGGAGTTCTCTTCCTTCTGATTGGAGGGTAGAGGATCTTCTTTAGCAAGAGGTTTCGGAGAAGCTATCCGTTTCGCCATCTTCCGAATCCAGAGGTAGGAAAGAGGTAGGAAAGCGATATCTATCTTTGGGAGATGGAGGAGGTCTTGCCTTTCTTGTACCGAAATCCGAGGCCATTCTGTGAAATTGCAAAGTGAAGGAGCTCTGTGTAATGTCAAGATTGCGATATAATCGCCTGTCTGCTCAAGCCGCAGAAGAGTTCTTCTGCGTTTTTTCCTTTAGACGTGGATAAACCCCGTGTTCCTGCTTCTGAGGTACAGGAGCTCTTTTCCTGGTAGTCAACATGTAGAGGAGCACTGTATCTACCTACCATATTGCCAGCTCATGCAGGTCCCCGTTTGTTGGCAAGTACAATGTGAGCAACTCCCCACGAAAATGAACGTGCCGCAATCCCGGAAGCCCTAATCCACTAGATGGCCACGCTGAATTACTGACTCCTGCAGTCTTCAGATTGGTATAAGCTTTGCATCTTATTTGCTGTTTGCTGTTGGCGAGTTGAAAGTATTGTTTTTTTTGAGGGTGGAGAGGATAACGATAAGGGGGGCGGGAGGTGGCCTTGGAAGAAGAGATCTTTAGCAATGCTTCACGAAAGCAAAGCTTTAAAAGAGGCAATGCAAACCTGCCGTCCGAATGCCGGAGTCTGCCTGCTTTCCAAAGCTTGAAGCTCCAGGAATGTTTGCCACTCGTAATTATGTGTCTCCACCAAGGGTGTTTAGGGTTTAGGGTTTAGGGTTGGAAACCACTGTGGAGAAGACCACGATAAGGGTTGGCCGCACAGGCCTAGCAATTGGCTCTTATCCTCTGGGACCCCGCGTTCAGGGCCCCAGATGTTTAGGGGCTTGAGTTCGGGTGCACGCCCCAGTGCTTGATGCTTCCACACAGCCCGCTGGTTTAGCGATCTTGCTTGGGCTTACCTAGACCCCCAAAGTATGTAGAAAAATTGCCCAAAACCCATAAACGGGCCATTTGTTTACATACTTTGGGGGTTTAGGTAGCGGCTAAGAGATTTCACCCCATCAGGTTCGCACGCATGCGCAGCTGAGCCAGATTGTCACCGAGCTTACGAAGTCTGCTTACAGGCACATGGGGGATGAGGGCTTCCCTAATCCCCAAACCCTGAACCCTAAACCCTGGACCCCAAACCCTAAACCCTAAACCCTAAACCCCAAACCCTAAACCCTAGACCCTAGACCCTAGACCCTAGACCCTAGACCCTAGACCCTAAACCCGAAACCCTAAACCCTAAACCCTAAAGCCGCTTAGAGCCACCAATCTTCTGTCCCTCCCCGTCCCAGAGGCCCCGAATGGCCGTCATCGGCAGCAGGGACCAGCTTTGCAACAACGGACTTGTGCCCTGGTGTACGGAAACTGGCGTGGGGTTTAGGGTTTAGGGTTTAGGGTTTAGGGTTTAGGGTTTAGGGTTTAGGGTTTAGGGTTTAGGGTTTAGGGTTTAGGGTTGAGGCCGCAAGGGCCCATGTCGGGTTGGGGCGGGGGCCAAAATCCTTGGCGTTTGTCTTCGGATGTTGGCGGCTGTAGCGGTGGGGTCTCGTTCAACTCAGGGCTCCACACGTTTAGGGGTTTAGAGTTTAGGGGTTTAGGGTTTAGAGTGTAGGGCTTTATCTGGCCTGCAGCATTTTGGCAGGTCATGCAATAATCAACTGCCCTCTTCTTTTGTCAGCCCGCCGCATCCACCAACAGGGCGTCCACTTTCAGCACAGTAGGGGTCGCAATAATTACGAATAGCAGTCCCTCGTGGTCCCCTCAAAACCCTATTCTGATCATTAAGGCCCCTCGATTATTTATTGAAGATGGTTTCTTGTTGCCCTGTTCTTCTGGATTTTTACAGGATTCGAGGCGGTCCTTGAAGCTGTCAGCATACCAGGGGGCTTTCGATGTCGAGCCGGAGATGTCGAGCCGCGTACGTCTTAACCCTAAACCCTAAACCCCAAACCCTAAACCCTATTTATACCCTAAACCCGACCCTAAACCCTTAACCCTGCCGTCCCCAGTCCCAGGTCAAAGCACAGGCAGCTCAGCGACAGGCCCGGCCTGGGCTTGTTTCTTGGGATGGCTTAGGGGGTGATGAGGTGCAGGGTTTAGGGTTTAGGGTTTTTGGGGTTAAGGGCATAGGGCTTTGGATTTAGGGTTTAGGGTTTTGGGGGTGATAAAGGTGTTTGTTGCTGGTAGATGATGTCGGATTGAGGGAGGTTTTCGGAATTTCGGAGGAAAGCCCCCTCTGAAGCGTCTTCAGGTTTTAGGGTTTGGGGTCTAGCCCTAAACCCTAAACCCTAGACCCCCCTCAAGCCTATCAGCCCCTAGAGGAGACCTGAGACCCCGTGGGCATGTTCGTGGCTGGGGTATTCAGGTCTTAAGAGGTTTGGGGTTTAGGGGTCCAGGGGTCCAGGGGTCCAGGGTTTAGGGTTTAGGGTTCAGGGTTCAGGGTCCAGGGGTCCAGAGGTTTAGGGTTTAGGGTTTAGGGTTTCGACCCTCTTTGAACTGCAGAAATGCCAAGGATACCCTCAAGGTCGAGGATCCCTCCCAACTTCCGCAGAAGCCAAAGCCGAAGACTCCCAACCTCATAAGGTCAGCCCTTTAAGATGCAAAGAAGTCCTGAGAAACCCCCAGTGAAAATGTCCTAAACCCTAATCCCGAAACCCTAAGCCCTAAGCCCTAAGCCCTCAGCCCTCAGCCCTCAGCCCTAAGCCCTCAGCCCTAAGCCCTAAGCCCTCAGCCTTAAGCCCTAAGCCCTAAGCCCTAAGCCCTAAGCCCTAAGCCCTAAGCCCTAAGCCCCTTGTCCTTGAAACTCCAGACGATCTCTCTATCCAGGTGGCCCTGAGCCTGGCCTGCCGGCAGGCACCTTCACACCAGGGGCTATTTGCTTAGGGGGCTGTAAGTCTTAGGGCTAAGGTTTGGGGTTTAGGGTTTAGGGTTTAGGGTTCAGGGTTTAGGTTTAGGGTTTAGCGTGTTGGGTTGTCGGGTTGTTGGGTTTGTTGGGCTTAGGGGGTGGTGCAGGGGAGTTTGATCTGGAGTTCGGGCCCCCGTGTGCCCCTTTTTAACCACAAACGAGGGTCATGATTTGCAAACCTAAACTAAACCCTAAACCCTAAACCCCCCACCTTCATTAGGAGCTCCCTGCCAGGGGCTCCTGGAGCTTTAGGGATTGCGGGGCTAAGCTGGCCCTGAACCCCTCAATAACCCTATGAACCCCCCAACCCTAACCACTCGGGAGCGCCAGGACCGTTAGAACCTCAAAGCCCCGCAACCCTACTGGCCCAATAACTCTAATCACCCCTAACACCCCTAAACCCGACATCCCAACAACCCAAGTAGTCGCAACAACCCCGAGAACCCCAACAGCCCTCATGTTGGTTCAAGCAAGATCCTGGTTTGGAGGTAAATGCTCACATCTGCAGTTTAGGGTTTAAGTTGCGGGCCTGGGATTTGTAAGGTTGAGAGGTGGCTAAGCCGAAGTGGCCACGCAAGTGTGTGTGTGATCTGGGTCCTGGTTAGACCCGCATTTCCCCTAAACCCTACAAACCTTAAGACACCTCAACGGGTTTAGGGTGCTGCGCGGTTTATAATATAGGTTTAGGTTTCAAAAGCTTGCTAAACCTTCCTAAGCCTTACCAAGCTCTATCAAGTTTGTCAAGCTCGACGCCCAAAAAGGTTGCTGGGCATCCCAGCTATGAAGATAGGAACCTGAGCCTGCATCACTAAACCTTAAAACCCTAAAATCCGAAACCCCAAAACCCTACAACCCCAAACCCTAAAACCCTAACCCTAAACCCTAAGACCATAAACCCTAAACCCCAAAGCCATCGACTCCCCAGTCCTAGAACTCCCAAACGGCGTGCCCGCGCAAGGCAGCGCGGCAGGCGGTTGCTCGGAGCCGAACCCCCGGAGATTGCGGCTGTGAGCTCTACGCAGGCGAATTCGGCTCAGCGCTTTAGGGTTTAGGGTCTAGGGTCTTGGGTCTTGGGTCTTGGGTCTCTAGGGCCCTCGTGGCTTGTGTGGTCTTAGTTTTTTTGTTTTTTGCAGTCTTGGGCCCAAACCATTTGCCCTGCGTAACCTACAAACCCCAACACGGTCGGTTGAGCAGAAAAGAGCCAAGAAATGGTCGAGCCGCCTCGGATGCCTAACCCTAAACTCGTCCCCTAGAGCCCTGAACCCCACAAGCCATGAGCCCCCCAGGGTTTGGGGTTTAGGGTTTAGGGATTGGGGATTAGGGATTAGTTTGGGTTTAGGGTTTAGGGTTTAGGGCTTTATAGGAGTTTTGGGAGCTTTGGCGGCCCCTCAACCCTCAACCTCATGAAGCTGTGCAGTGAAGCGCGTCCTCAACCTGCTTCAGGTCTTGGCAATGCGAGGTTTGCCGAACGCATCCACGCACCCTGTCCCAAGTTGCTACTCAGGGTTTTTGTCCAACTATTTCGCCTGCGTAGGTTGCCTTTGCCTTTTCCTTTTTTTCTTGAGGAGGGGCTGGGGAGGGAGGTAAGGGGGCTCTAGTGCATTTAGGGGTATATGCGGGCTCTAGGCATATAGGGGTATGACTATATACGGGTGCATCCCTATGTTTGGGATAGTCCAGGGCTTCTTGGCTGTTCGCACAACGGACGCTGGGGGGGGCCAGCGTAGCAAGCAACAATACCAGCAATCGTGAAAGCAGAAAATCACATCGCAGTCGTCACACTCATGACGATTGCTATATGTCCCCAGTCACTTCAGCATGTTTCTTTACCTGGCCTTTTGGCTTGTGTGTGGGGGGAGGGGGGGGTGTTCTTGTGCATCGGTCCGACTGCAAGACATGTCTCTGGGAAACACCGGATCGAGAAAAAGCTGGGCTGTCCGGGTCGAGGGTTTAGGTCGAGGTTTTAGCGTTGACGGTTTCAGGAATTCATGCTAGGTTCAGCTTTCTGCTGGATTGAAATGCTAGGCTGCAGCAGTGGTTTGCAAGTCAGACATAGGCAGGGTGCGAGTAAGAGGCCGCCAGAGACTCCAAGAGGAGGGAGTTTAGAGCATAGAAGCCCTAAACCCTAAACCCTAACCCTAAACCCTAAACCCTAAACCCTGAACCCTGAACCCTAAACCCTAAACCCTAGGGTTCAGGGTTTAGGCTTTCTGCAGGTTTCGAAGCACTGCCATGCCAGTCCTGGAATTGGTTTCCCTGAATTCAGCCAGAGCACCTGTTAGGGTTCAGGATTTAGGGGTTAGGGTTAAGGGTTTAGGGTTTAGGGTTTCGGGTTAGACTCCTACACCCGCTACACCCAACCACCCTAAACCTTGAACTTTTAGTTCCCAATCCCACCAAAGCTTTTCCTCACCAAGGAGCAATGTGGACAGGGGGGCCGGATTTGGGACGTGCCTGGACAATCAATTTTGGGCTTAGGGCCGAGAGGGGTGGGAGTGCGGGAAGTAGGTTCAAGGAGATAGGGAAGTGACATGCTAAAGCCCAAAACCGAAAGCTAGATCAAACCCTCAACCCTCAAACCCTCAAACCCTCAAACCCTCAAACCCTCAAACCCTCAAACCCTCAAACCCTCAAACCCTCAAACCCTCAACCCGCGGCTGCCCGAGGTCGAAGATCTCACCAACGCATGCAGTCGAGGTTCAGACCGTGGGTGTCCGCACCTGTGGCGGAATGTAGGTTAAACAGGGCACACAGGTGGGGCAAAAATCTAGGGTTTAGGGTTTAAGGTTTAAGGTTTAGGGCTTGGGCCCTGGTTTCAACAAGAAGAGGCCCGAAACCGGCCCTCAGACCCCAAACCTTGGAAGGTCTGGGACGCCCAAATCCTGCAGCACATCGCGCCCTTCTCTCATACAACCCGGAACCCAACAACAGCTCTACAAGGCAAGCCCTACCCTGTGGGGGGTGTAGTGTTTTGGGGCTTTGGGTGGTCGAGGGCACCCATGAACCACAAGAAACGGTTTCTTGGTTTAGGGCTTGGTCAGAGGTTTAGGTGCCCACTCCTGCGAATCCCGATTGAAGTATGTGCAGCGGACACTTGCTAGGGATCATGTAGATCACAAGGCTTGCAGCTGTGAGGTATTATTCGTCGCACGTACTGGCCGGCGATGCAGACACTTGCCAGAACAGTTGGCAGTACGTCGTTGTCGAGTAGTAGTAGTGGTAGTAGTAGTAGTAGTAGTAGTAGTAGTAGTAGTAGTAGTAGTAGGAGGAGGAGGAGCAGTAGTAGGAGTAGCAGTATGTAGTAGGCAGTTTGTTTACAACTTACAACTTCCTCAAGAAGGGTTTAGGCTTTAGTGTTTAGGGTTTCGGGCTAATGCCCTGAAAAGCATTCCAGAGTCCGAGAGGCATATACATCTTCTGTAAAACAGCGCGCCTGCTGTGACTCAGGCTATCTTGAGAATGTTTGTTTTGGGACATTTGGGATACAGGCAGGGCATCTGGTAATTAGGTCTTAGCACCCCTGGTTCATCCTCAACTTCCTAACCTCTTGCGCGACTTCGCTGAGGGCATCTGCATCGCTCCAGAGTTCCATGGTTCTTTGCGGTTGCGTTGGGCCGCTGTTCTTTTCATCAATTGTTGGGTGAAGAAGCCCAAAGTCCGCTTCAGCCACGCCAGAAACCAAAGCCTCGATGCACTTCAAACCAAAGCCACGATGCCAGCCTGAGGACATCGTCTTCTGCCCGCACAACTACATCCTCGACCCTGCTGTCTCGAAGTGCAGATTCTCGACCTAGCCCGTTGATAGGAATTCTGGGGTTTAGCAAGGGGGGATTCAAGACAGGGGCCTGTTTGAAGGTGTATTTTGGGTAGCTTTACATATGCATATCTTGCAGAATATAGAGAAATGGCAAGAGGGCATGTTGTTGGTCATTGCTTCGGCAGCCAGAGGCAAAGCTAGCTCCATGCGGTGCCGTTTCTCCAGCCTCCCTAAACTGTAAACCCTACAAACCCCGGACTCGAAACCCTGCCATCACAAGGATCGCACCATCGGGAGCGCTGGTCACTGGAAGGCCGGATCATCGTTATCGATGACGCTTGGCTCACTGCGGGATGGCTTTGAAGGGGGTTTGGGGTTTAGGGTTTAGGGTGCACGGTGTTCATGCTAAGGGTGTCTGGGCCCTTAACCCTAAACCCTAAACCGGCTTGCTATCACAGATTGTGAGTTGAGGATATGGGGAGCAGTCCAGGGTTCGTCTTCAAGCAGATGTGGCGCTCTTGAAATCCTTTTTCTCAAGCGGGAGAGGGCACAACTCTCAACACCAAACCCTTCTGGTTTTGCTAGGCTGGTGGGGAAGTCGGGGATTGTTCTTTGGAGCTGTGGGTTTAGGGTTTAGGGGTTTAGGGTTGAGGGTTTCGGGTTAAGGGTATGAGCTCAGGAAGCACACAACTTGGAGCAAGCTTGCCGCGAGGCCGGGAACAGACCTCAACCCCAAGCCTAGGACGCCCTTAGTCCCGTTAGTTTGGCGTTAGGATCGCTTCTAGGCCCGCAAGTCAACCAAGACAGCTTGGAAAGACAGGTAGCCCCTTTAACCCCCATAAACCCTATAGACCCTAAACCATGCAACCTTGACGACCTTCATTTCCTAAACCCCAAACCCTAAACCCTAAACCCTAAACCCTAAACCCTAAACCCTAAACCCTAAACCCTAAACCCTAAACCCTAAACCGTCAATTCTGGCGAGCTCTCGGGCGCTGCTGCTGCCTGCAGTGAGCCTGGCAAGAAGTCAACAAAACCGACTTTGAAGTCGCGACAGGCGCGGTGAAGGAGCCCCTGCACTGGCCCCAGGTCTGCCGTTTAGGGTTCGGGGTTGAGGGTTTAGGGTTTAGGGTTTCGGGTTTAGGGTTTAGAACCGAATATGAAGCCTGAAACCCGACCCAGGTCATAGATCGTGTGGGCGCCTTGGCGGGGAGCGCAAGCCTTGGAGCACACCATAAGCCCTAAAGATGTGACGCCCTGAGCCTAACCCTAAACCCTAAACCCTAAACCCTAAACCCTAAACCCTAAACCCTAAACCCTAAACCCTTAGCTCTGAATTAAATCCTATATGACCCTCTCACCATGTGATCCCTAAACCTCGACCAGGCGGGGAGCCTCCAAATTTCGCTGCCGGAGCTTCGGCAGATCTGCCGGGCTCTGCGCCAGATGCCACAAAGGCCCAGGGACCTTTAGGGTTTCGGGTTTGGGGTTTCGGGTTTAGGGTTTAGGGTTTAGGGTTTGGGGTTCGAGGAAAGGTCGGCGCCCTCAAATTTTCCCAACATGGGTTTGAGAGCATCCTATGTAACAGATGGCTTAGGGCCGGGGGCCAACCTACACGCAAAAAGCAGGCAAGCCTCTAGGCTAGTTGCGTTGTTGATTTTTACAATAGTTTCGTGTTAGCTTTGGACGCAGGGTTGAAGGGTCTAGGGTTGAGGGAGGGCGCAGTAGCATGAACGAAGGTATTCCACGTCCTGCTTAGGAGGATGCTTTGTAGTGTGGTTCGTGCGTATCGTTAAAGCCTCCAATTTCCCTTTTTTGCTGGGGTGGTGCATGCCCGATGCATTCAAATAGGACAGGTTCCCACCTACTAATTTGTAGGATTTAGGATTTCAAGGATTCAGAACGCCGGCCACGTGTGCACTTGTGCAGGAAGATTTCGAGGTCCGATCTTGGACCTGAGCCGAAGCCCCCGAACCCTAGAATCACCGAGGTGTGAAGAGGTTTTGCAGGATCCCTCGCCCTTAAGGCGTATACATCTTCAGCCCTACAAACCATCACGGTGTCGAGGGGGGTGCTGCCGGGTTCTGGTCCGTGTGCAAGGCACGACATGCGCTTCGGAAGTGATGGCAAGAACTGGACTTGCGCTCAGGCCGGCGAAAACCCTCGTTTTGTGGCTCCGAAGATCCCTGGCCCCCCCAAGAAACTTTCAGAGACCCCTGGAACCTCTTTGTAAGCTTTGAAAAAGAAGATCCCTGCCCTGTCAAGCATGAACCTTGTATGGCTCCGTGAAAAGTGGGCCTCTTCTGGGCCCCAGAGGGTGGGTAAAGGTATGAGGGCCCTGCCCCATCTTTTGCACTCCTTGTGGGGCTTGAATCTGGGTGGTTTCGGTGTAGGATTCATCTATCTGCGCAGAAAGAAGCTCCTGATGATGCTTTTTTGTTGGCAGGAAGTGTATTCTTCTTTCTGCATGAAGGGCTCGGGGGTTCGAAGTGTGGCTGCCAAGAGCGGTCTGGTGGGCTCTTATTATAAAGGAGGCGTTATGACAAGCTTGTTTCAGCTCAACACTTCACCGTGAGGTTGAGCCTTGCGACCCTAGATCCTGACCCTATAGCACCTGACGCCCTATACCCAGAACCCTACACGACCCTACTAAAGCTCACAGGCCTATGGTGCCCCTTAAACAAAAACTCTTGGGTCTAGAGTCTACGAACCCTAAACCCTAAACCCTAAACCCTAAACCCTAAACCCTAAAAAGCCGTACTTGAGCTGAAGCACCGGAACCTGCACGCCCTTCGGATGGAGAATGTACAGCAAGGCTTAGGTCTTTCAGGGTTTAGGATTTAGGGTTTCCAGGGCTCCGGGTTAGGGTTCAGGGTTTCCGGGTTAGGGTTCGGGGTTTAGGATTTAGGGTTGAGGGTTTAGGATTGAGGGTTTAGGGTTTAGGGTTTTAGGGTTTTAGGGTTTGGGGGGGGGGGGGGGGGGTTACTCCACTTTTTAAGGCCGCGGCTGAGTTGGAGCGCCTGCCGCTGCAGATCGCTGCCTGGTTGGAGGTGATCCTTCGTGTTTAGGGTCTGTAGAGTTCAGGGTTCAGGGTTGAAGCTTTAGGGTTAGGGTTTAGGATTTCGGGTTTAGGGTTTAGGGTTTAGGGTTGAGGGTTGAGGGTTTAGGGTTTAGGGTTTAGGGCTTCTAGGGTCTAGAGGATTTATGGGTTTATAGGTTTGATACTGGCATATAGGGTTTATAAGGCAAGGTGCTAAACCTTAGGTTTGCCATCGTGCTTTTGGGGCTTAGGAGGTTTCTGTTGTTCTGCGGGGTTAGGGGACTTGGGGTAAACATCGGTTCAGGTTCAGCAATGGGGTTAGGACCTTAGGAAGTTTTGGTTTACTCTCGGGTTCAGGGTGTAACTGCCTGGGTTTGGGTTCAAGTTTGGGCCTTAGGACTTTGTTTTGCGGGTATCTTGGTGTGTATTGGTGGGGCTTAGGAACGGGTTCATGTTTTTGCTGGAGCTTAGGACCCCAACACTTCTTTGAATACTAGGCGTTGCTTCAGGAGCCTTTTAAGAAGAACGACATGCAGCTACAATCGCCATTTTACTTGAGACTTGCAAAAGTTCTTCACACAATTCTCAGACAAGGGCCCCAAAATCAGCTTGCTCATCCGGATCGTCTAAGGTTGAACAGGATGTTTCAAGTAGGAAAGCCCTTGGACAATTTTTCATTGTCGCCCCCCCCCCCCCCCCCGTGGCTGAGCAAAATAGGGTCTATTTAGAAGCATTGTCAAGCAGGTTTAGTTCGTGATTAAGCAGCTACATCTTTAATAACATCCCACAATCTGAGACTCCACAACCTGCATCTGAAACTCGAAACCCTCATCCCCAAAGCCTAGCCTTTCCGTCACATGCACTGTATAATCGGACTCGATGACCTGCGTCTTAAACTCTAAGTCTGATTTTAAACCTTAACCGTGCATTCACACACACGCTTCGGCCGTGCCCAGCTGCCACCCCCAGCCGAAGCGGACGGCGGAATATAAATATTTTAAAGAGGGCCTCTTGGCTTTCCCCTTATCTCTTTCTCTGCTTAGACAAGAACATAGGAGAGAAGAGGAGTTTACACCTTCTTCTCGCTCCTCACTCCTCTCTCCTCCCCACCCCCCTCTCGCGCTCTCTCTTTTTTCTTTCAGCGGGCTTGAGGGCAAGGGTTTTCCCCGCCCACACCCCACGCTGCACTCTCTCTCTTTCTCCCTCTCGCTTTTTTTGTTTTCCTTTTCTTTTCTGAGTGGTATCTCTCGTAGAACTGGAAGGGGTGGAAGCTGATGCGCGTCTTTTTTTGTGCGGGCAGGTGCCTCCAGGGGAGGACGCTGCCTTCATCTCATTCCGCCTTCCCATACCGCTTTAAAAGAAAATGAGGAGATAGAGAGAAAGAGAGACAGGGTCACGGGGGAAAGAAGAGGGAGGGGCAAGAACAAGGTAGGAAGAACATGTAAATTCCTCTTCTCTCTTCTCTTTTCCTCTTTCTTTTCCACAAGAAAGAAAACTGATATGGACTTGAGAAGGGGGGAAGCGAAGAGACCCTCTCTCTCCCACGGTCTATGCTTCTCTCTATGCCTCGCCCTGTCTCACTCCCTCTCTGCTTCAGGAAATCTCTTTCTTTGTAGCTCACCCTCCTCCTCGTCTTCCAATTCCACAAGACATGCCGCCCATACAAGAAAAAGATAAACAGAGAGAGAACGAGCGAGCAGACCGGAAGAAGAAAGGAACAAGGTAGGAAGACATGTAAACTCCTTTGTTCTCTTATCTTCTTATCTTTCTCTTTAACAAAGAAAAATGATTGGGAGCATAAGCTTTTCCAAAATTTTTGGAGGGCTGTGCTTGCGATTTGTCTTTTGGGAGCACATTCTTGCCAAAACCTTGGGGGGACGGTGCTTGCGATTTGTGTTTTGGGAGCATCCTTTTTCTCCAAGATCTCAGGGGGACGGTGCTTGCGATTTGTCTTTTGGGAGCACAGAAAATCTTAGGTCTTCGGCCTGCTTTCCTTCAAGGCTTCCAAAAATGGAGGTCTCCGGCGTGGGGGTCCTTTACTTTGAAGGTGGGTCTTGTTACAGAAAAAGAAGAAAAGAGCACCCTCATTTTGGGTACATGCAACATCATTCCCTTCTGCTATTTCCTCTTGCGCAAAGAACGACAGGAAGGCAGCAGTGGAAAAAGGGACTCCTTTCCTTCAAGATTCCAAAATCGGAGTCTCTGGTGTGGGTGTCCTTTTCAAGGCGGGTTTCGCTACAGAAAAAGGAAGAAAAGGACACCCGAAACACTCAAAAAATCTTGGACGCGCTTCTTTACACATTAAGTTAAATATTTTATACTGAAATGAAGGGAACAGAAACTGAAACGAACGAAGGTGAGAGTGGACAAAGAAGCACCTTTTCTTTCCAGGTTTCCAGAAATAGAGGTCTCCGGTGTGGGTGTGCTTTTAAGGTGGGTTTTGCTACAGAAAAAAGAAGACAAGAGCACCCTCATTTTGGGTACATGTAACATCATTTCCTTCTGGTATTTCCTCTTGCGCAAAGAAATAAAACGAAAGGAAGGCAGCAGTGGAAAAAGCGAGCGCCTTTCCTTCAAGTTTTCCACAATTGGAGTCTCTGGTGCGGGTGTCCTTTTAAGGTGGGGTTCGCTACAGAAAAAGGAAGCAAAGGACACCCGAAACACTCTAAAAATCTTGGACGCGCTTCTTTACTCATTAAATTAAATATGTTATACTGAAGTTAAGGGAACAGAAAATGAAACGAACGAAAGGTAAGAGTGGACAAAGAAGCACCTTTTCTTTCCAGGTTTCCAGAAATAGAGGTCTCCGGTGTGGGTGTATTCTTAATGTTTCTCTAAGAAAAAAGTATAAAAAAAAAGGACACCCCGAAACACTCTAAAAATCTTGGACGCCCTTCTTTACATATTTAATTAAATATTTTATACTTAAATTAACAGGGGACAGAAAATGAAACGAACGAAGGGTGAGAGCGGACAAAGAAGCACCTTTTCTTTTCAAGGTTTCGTGGGGTCATTTTTTGCTCCAAAAAGTCAAATCGCAAGCCCTGGTCCCTAAGATTGTGGGTTCAAGTTTTGCTCCAAAGAGCCAAATCGCAAGCCCTGGCCCCTAAGATTTTGGGTTCAAGTTTTGCTCCAAAGAGCCAAATCGCAAGCCCTGGCCCCTAAGATTTTGGGTTCAAGTTTACCTCCAAAGAGCCAAATCGCAAGCGCTGGTTCCTTTGATTTTGGGTTCAAGTTTTGCTCCAAAGAGCCAAATCGCAAGCCCTGGCCCCTAAGATTTTGGGTTCAAGTTTGCCTCCAAAGAGCCAAATCGCAAGCCCTGGTCCCTAAGATTTGGGTTCACGTTTTCCTCCAAAGAGCCAAATCGCAAGCCCTGGTCCCTAAGATGTTGGGTTCAAGTTTGCCTCCAAAGGGCCAAATCGCAAGCCCTGGTCCCTAAGATTTGTGTTCAAGTTTGCTTCCAAAGAGCCAAATCGCAAGCGCTGGCCCCTAAGATTTATCGGTTCAAGTCTTGCTCCGAGTATCATCTACGATTTGTGTTTGGGGAGCATCTTGTTCTCCAAAATCTTAGGTCTTCGGTCTGCTTTCCTTCAAGGTTTCCAAAACATGGAGGTCTCCGGTGCGGGGATCCTTTAAAGGTGGGTCTTGTTGCAGAAAAAGAAGAAAAGAGTACCCTAATTTTGGATACATGTAACATCATTTCCCTCTGCTATTTCCTCTTGCGCAAAGAACGACAGGAAGGCAGCAGTGGAAAAAGGGAGCTCTTTTCCTTCAAGTTCTAAAATCGGAGTCTCTGGGTTTCGCGAAAAGGACACCCGAAACACTCTAAAAATCTTGGACGCCCTTCTTTACACATTAAATATTGTATACTTAAAGGGGACAGAAAATGAAACGAACGAAAGGTGGGAGTAGACAACGCAGCACCTTTTCTTTCAAGGTTTCCAGAAATAGAGGTCTCCGGTGCGGGTGTGCCTTTAAGGTGGTTTAGACACCCCTGCTGACATTCCGAAACACTCTAAAAAATTTGGACACCCATCTTTACAGAATAAATTAGATATTTATACTTAAATTCAAGGGGACAGAAAATGAAACGAACGAAGGGTGAGAGCGGACAAAGAAGCACGTTTTCTTCTCAAGGTTTCGGGGGTCATATTTTTTTGCTCCAGAAGTCAAATCGCAAGCCCTGGCCCGTAAGATTGTGGGTTCAAGTTTTGCTCCAAAGAGCCAAATCGCAAGCCCTGGCCCCCAAGATTCTGGGTTCAAGTTTACCTCCAAAGAGCCAAATCGCAAGCCCTGGTCTCTAAGATTTTGGGTTCAAGTTTTCCTCCAAAGAGCCAGATCGCAAGCCCTGGTCCCTGAGATTTGGGGTTCAAGTTTTCCTCCAAAGAGCCAAATCGCAAGCACTGGTCCCTAAGATTGCGGGTTCAAGTTTTCCTCCAGAGTCCAATCGTAAGCCCTGCTCCCTACGACTTTGGCTTCAAGTTTTGCTCCAAAGAGTCAAATCGCAAGCCGTCCCTAAGATTTTGGGTTCAAGTTTACCTCCAAAGAGCCAAATCGCAAGCCCTGGTCCCTAAGCTTTTGGGTTCAAGTTTGCCTCCAAAGAGCCAAATCGCAAGCCCTGGTCCCTAAGATTGTGGGTTCAAGTTTTCCTCCAAAAAGTTAAATCGCAAGCCCTGGTCCCTAAGATTTTGGGTTCAAATTTTCCTCCAAAAAGCCAAATCGCAAGCCCTGGTCCCTAAGATTTTGGGGTCAAGTTTGCCTCCAAAGAGCCAAATCGCAAGCGTTGGTCCCTAAGATTGTGGGTTCTAGTTTTTCTTCAAAGAGTCAAATCGCAGGCCCTGGTCCCTACGACTTTGGCTTCAAGTTTTACTCCAAAGAGTCAAATCACAAGGGTCTGGCCCCTAAGATTTTGTGTTCAAGTCTTGCTCCGAGCATCATCTACGATTTGTGTTTGGGGAGCATCTTTGTCTCCAAAATCTTAGGTCTTCGGCCTGCTTTCCTTCAAGTTTTCAAAAAAATGGAGGTCTCCGGCGTGGGGGTCCTTTACTTTGAAGGTGGGTCTTGTTACAGAAAAAGAAGAAAAGAGCACCCTCATTTTGGGTACATGCAACATCATTCCCTTCTGCTATTTCCTCTTGCGCAAAGAACGACAGGAAGGCAGCAGTGGAAAAAGGGAGCTCCTTTCCTTCAAGATTCCAAAATCGGAGTCTCTGGTGCGGGTGTCCTTTTCAAGGTGGGTTTCGCTTCAGAAAAAGGAAGGAAAAGGACACCTGAAACACTCTAAAAATCTTGGACGCCCTTCTTTACACATTAAATATTTTATACTTAAATTAAAGGGAACAGAAAATGAAACGAACGAAAGGTGAGAGTGGACACCTTTCTTTCCAGGTATCCAAAAAATGGAGGTCTCCGGTGTGGGTGTCCTTTAAAGGTGGGTTTTTGCTACAGAAAAAAGAAGAAAAGAGCACCCTCATTTTGGGTACATGCAACATCATTTCCTTCTGCTATTTCCTCTTGCGCAAAGAACGACAGCAACGCAGCAGTGGAAAAAGCGAGCACCTTGCCTGCAAGGCTTCCAAAATCGGAGTCTCTGGCGCGGGTGTCCTTTTAAGGTGGGTTTCGCTACAGAAAAAGGAAGAAAAGGACACCCGAAACACTCTATATAAACATCTTGGACACCCTTACACATTAAATATTTTATACTTAAATTAAAGGGGACAGAAAATGAAACGAACGAAAGGTGAGAGTGGACAAAGAAGCAGCTTTTCTTTCCAGGTTTCCAAAAATAGAGGTCGCCGGTGTACGTATTTTAATGCTTCGCAACATAAAAAGGACAAAAGGACACCCGAAACACTCTAAAAAATTTTGGACGCCCCTCTTTACAGAATAAATTAGATATATATATATATATATATTTATTTATTTAAATTAAAGGTGACAGAAAATGAAACGAACGAAGGGTGAAAGTGGACAAAGAAGCACCTTTTCTTTTCAAGGTTTCGTGGGTCATTTTTTGCTCCAAAGAGTCAATTCGCAAGCCCTGGTCCTTAAGATTGTGGGTTCAAGTTTTGCTCCAAAGAGCCAACTCGCAAGCCCTGGTCTCTAAGATTTTGGCGTAAACTTGATCAAACTTTTAATCCAAAACGTCAAATCGCAAGCCCTGCTCCCCAAGACTTTGGCTTCAAGTGTTGCTCCAAAGAGCCAAATCGCAAGCCCTGGTCTCTAAGATTTTGGGTTCAAGTTTTCCTCCAAAGAGCCAGATCGCAAGCGCTGGTCCCTAAGATTTTGGGTTCAAGTTTTCCTCCCAACAGCCAAATCGCAAGCCCTGTCGCAAGCCCTGGCCCGTACGACTTTGGCTTCAAGTTTTGCTCCAAAGAGCCAAGTCGCAAGCCCTGGTCCCTAGGATTTTGGGTTCAAGCTTTCCTCCAAAGAGAAATCGCAAGCCCTGGTCCCTAAGATTTTGGGTTCAAGTTTTCCTCCAAAGAGCCAAATCGCAACGCTGGTCCCTAAGATTTTGGGTTCAAGTTTTCTTCCAAAGAGCCAAATCGCAAGCCTTGGTTCCTAAGATTGTGGGTTCAAGTTTTCCTCCAAAGAGCCAAATCGCGAGCAGAATAACACAAAATAAATTGGGGTGCGGCATTGAGACGTACAAAAGTATGGTGTGTTTTTGTCATCTTTTGGGAATGATACCGCGGTTTCTGGGTCCTCTCTTCTCCGGCATCGGAAGGCATGCTCACGTACCGCTTTTATTTGATTTTATACTACACGGGCCCCAAAAATTGGTCAATTTTTGCGATTTTTTACTATGTCCGCGGTAGGATTTTTTGAGCAAATTTCAATTTTGTTAGCGTGATTTCAGACTTTTGCGCATATATGAAAAAAAAGCCTATTTTTTGGTCCGAAACGGCTTCGCGCAAAAGCTGGCAGCGAGGCGAGCCTGTCCAAAAATAAGTTGTCGAGCTTCAAAACGACTCCCCGCCGTTGTTTTCTGAAATTGCCAGAACTCACTTTGATGAAAAATGCGATTACTGTGCCTTTGCTTCCCACCGCAGCCCAAAAAATCCTAAATTATTAAAATTAGTAATTTCTGCCCTGAGAGGCTCCCGGAAAATTAAAATTATTAAAATTATTAAAATTATTAAAATTATTAAAATTATTAAAATTATTAATTTCTGCCCTGAGAGGCTCCCCGAAAATTAAAATTATTAAAATTATTAAAATTATTAAAATTATTAAAATTATTAATTTCTGCCCTGAGAGGCTCCCGGAAAATTAAAATTATTAAAATTATTAAAATTATTAAAATTATTAAAATTATAAAAATTATTAATTTCTGCCCTGAGAGGCTCCCGGAAAATTAAAATTATTAAAATTATTAAAATTATTAAAATTATTAAAATTATTACAATTATTAAAATTATTATTTTCTGCCCTGAGAGGCTCCCTGAAAATTAAAATTAGAAAAAATATTAAAATTATTAAAATTATTAATTTCTGCCCTGACAGGCTCCCGGAAAATTAAAATTATTAAAATTATTAAAATTATTAAAATTATTAAAATTATTAAAATTATTAATTTCTGCCCTGAGAGGCTCCCGGAAAATTAAAATTATTAAAATTATTAAAATTATTAAAATTATTAAAATTATTAAAATTATTAAAATTATTAAAATTATTATTTTCTGCCCTGAGAGGCTCCCTGAAAATTAAAATTAGAAAAAATATTAAAATTATTAAAAATATCAAAATTATTAATTTCTGCCCTGAGAGGCTCCCGGAAAATTAAATCTATTAAACTTATTAAAATTATTAAAATTATTAAAATTATTAAAATTATTAAAAATTATTAAAATTATTGAAAATTATTAAAATTATTAAAATTATTAATTTCTGCCCTGAGAGGCTCCCCGAAAATTAAAATTATTAAAATTATTAAAATTATTAAAATTATTAATTTCTGCCCTGAGAGGCTCCCGGAAAATTAAAATTATTAAAATTATTAAAGTTAGTAAAAATATTAAAATTATTATTTTCTGCCCTGAGAGGCTCCCGGAAAATTAAAATTATTAAAATTATTAAAAATTATTAAAAATATTAAAATTATTAAAATTATTAAAAATATCAAAATTATTAATTTCTGCCCTGAGAGGCTCCCGGAAAATTAAATCTATTAAAATTATTAAAAATTATTAAAATTATTAAAATTATTAATATTATTAATTTCTGCCCTGAGAGGCTCCCGGAAAATTAAAATTATTAAAATTATTAAAATTATTAAAATTATTAAAATTATTAAAATTATGAAACCATTAATAAATAAAATTTTAATAATTCTAATAATTTCAATAATTTTAATAAACTTAATAATTTTAATAATTTTAATAATTTTAATAATTTTAATAATTTTAATAATTTTTATTTTCCGGGAGCCTCTCAGGGCAGAAATTAATAATTTTAATAGTTTTAATAATTTTCAATAATTTTAATAATTTTTAATAATTTTAATAATTTTAATTTTCCGGGAGCCTCCCAGGGCAGAAATTAATATTTTTAATAATTTGAATAATTTTAATAATTTTAATTTTCCGGGAGCCTCTCAGGGCAGAAATTAATAATTTTAATAATTTTAATAGTGTTAATAATAATTTTATTTTTAATAATTTTAATTTTCCGGGAGCCCCTCATGGCAGAAATTAATAATTTTAATAATTTTAATAATTTTAATAATTTTAATAATTTTAATAATTTTAATAATTTTAATAATTTTAATAATTTTAATTTTCCGGGAGCCTCTCAGGGCAGAAATTAATAATTTTAATAATTTTAATAATTTTAATTTTCCGGGAGCCTCTCAGGGCAGAAATTAATAATTTTAATAATTTTAATAATTTTAATAATTTTAATAATTTTAATTTTCCGGGAGCCTCTCAGGGCAGAAATTAATAATTTTGATATTTTTAATTTAATTTTCCGGGAGCCTCTCATAGAAATTAATAATTTTGAATAATTTTAATAATTTTAATAATTTTAATAATTTTAATTTTTAATAATTTTAATTTGCCGGGAGCCTCCCAGGGCAGAAATTAATAATTTTCATAATTTTAATAATTTTAATAATTTTAATAATTTTAATAATTTTAATAATTTTAATAATTTTAATTTTCCGGGAGCCTCTCAGGGCAGAAATTAATAATTTTCATAATTTTAATAATTTTATTAATTTTAATAATTTTAATATTCGGGGAGCCTCTCAGGGCAGAAATTAATAATTTTAATAATTTTAATAATTTTAATAATTTTAATAATTTTAATAATTTTAATAGTTTTAATAATTTTAATAATTTTGGTTTTCCGGGAGCCTCTCAGGGCAGAAATTAATTCATTAGTTTTAATTATTTTTAAAAATTTTCATAATTTTCATAATTTTAATAATTTTAATTTTCCGGGAGCCTCTCATGGCAGAAATTAATAATTTTAATAATTTTAATAGTTTTAATAATTTTAATAATTTATTAATTTTCCGGGAGCCTCTCAGGGCAGAAATTAATAATTTTAATAATTTTAATAATTTTAATTTTCCGGGAGCCTCTCAGGATTATTAAAAATATTAAAATTATTAAAATTATTAAAATTATTAAAATTATTAAAATTATCAAAATTATTAAAATTATTAAAATTATTAAAATTATTAAAATTATTAAAATTATTAAAATTATTAATTTCTGCCAACGTCCTTTTGAAATCCGACCGTAGGGTCTATTTAGAAGCCGTGCTCTTCTAGGTTTATTACATTTAGGTATATGGACCTGTATTATAAATCACAAGCCCCAGCTGCTAAATAGACCCGGTTTTGCTCACACACCCCCCCCCCCCCCCCTGGCCACGTGGAGCAAACTCCTCCGCTTGCCAGGCGCAGCATGCGTCGGACACGCCTCGTCCGCCGCACCCTCAGCGTGGGGCTGTAGCACCCGTGAACCGCGCCTAGTCCCCGAGCCCTGAGACCTAGACGGGGGAGGCTTCATCCTTGCAACTCACGGGCAGACGGAAGACCGCGAGTCCAAAACAAAAAAGGCAAAGTTCAAGTCTGTTGGGATCCCTCTTTTTGTGGAGCGGCGGGAGGGGCTTGATTGACTTGGTACCCTGCACCAGAACCGCCTTCAGTCCTCAAACTCGAAGCAGCCCCTGAAATCCGTGTTACGGTTTTAGGGTCTAGGGTTTAGGGTCCTGAAGGTCTGGGGTTTAGGGTCCTGGAGGTTTAGGGTTTAGAGTCCTGAGGGTTCGGGCAAACTATGAACACAAGGCTCCCTCAGCCCCTAAGCCCCAGAAGTATTCTAGGCCCTGCCAGCCCTACAAACATTTCCCGAGCCCTGTGAACTCCCCACAAACCTCAAACCCTATTCAGGCCCTGTAGAGCCCTATAAAGCCTCTAAGCCCTATGAGCCCCTAAGCCCTACACCATCAACCCTCAACCCTCAACCCTCAACCCTAAACCCTAAACCCTAAACCCTAAACCCTAAACCCTAAACCCTAAACCTCAGGCTCCGGGGTGCGGTACAGCGCCTTTGGGGCCTCGAGGCCCCGGCGCAGCCGGGGGCGAAGCCGGCGGCGAAGCCAGGGGAGGTGCGTCGTGGTTGGGTGTAGGGTTTAGGGTTTAGGGTTTAGGGTCTAGGGTCTAGGGTCTAGGGTTTAGGGTTTAGGGTTTAGGGGGGGTCTAGGGGGCTTAGTGGTCCTAGAGGGTTAGAGGGTTTATTCGGTTTACCGGGTTTACTGGGCTTACTGGGTTTGGTGGGTTTGGCGGGTTTGGAGGGTTTGAAGGGTTTGGGGTTGAGGGGCTTGGCGGTTCGGAAGAATTCTGCGACATGTTGCCGATACACAAGAATAATGCAGCCCTGCCGTGGTCTGAAGGGCGAAGCTGTCAGGGCCCGAAAGCGCCGTCAACCCTAAACCCTAAACCCTTTCTAGACCATCCACACCCCCAAAGCTGTGAAGCCCGAGCTGGCCCAGAGGCGGCATCCTCCACGCGCGATTTCCTGCAGAGTGCCGGCTTGACGTGTCGGAAGTGGCCTGCCCAAAGGAGCCAGGTGTTTATGACTTTCTGACTCACAAGTCGTGTGCAATGATAGGAAGGACAGGGTATCGATGCCCTGTGCATCTCTCTTCTCTCTTCTCCCGCTGTCTCACTGTGTGTGCCTCTCTCTCTCTCTCTCTCTTTCTTCTATCTCTCCCAGGCTCTTAAGCAAGGGCATGGAGGACTGGGGTTGCCACCAGGATGGGTTCGGGTTCGAAGTCTCTAGAATCCCAGAGCTCATGTCTGAGTGTTTCGTGCTTCAGCAGTGGTACGGAGGACATTTTGCATGAAAGAACCTCCATGGGCCAAACCTTCCTGAGCTCGTCCTAAATCCTCCGAAGGCCCGAGTCGGACAGTCTCTCTCTGCAGGTTTGGGTCTTAAAGAAACCCTAAACCCCTAAACCCTAAATCGCCTCTGCATGCAGAGGACCTTGTCCTTGAAGCGGTAGACCGCTTGCTGCAGGACCGGATTAGAGTTTGGGCTTTGGGCTTAGGGTTTAGGGTGTAGGGTTTATAGTGTTTGGGGTTTAGTCGAGGTTTGGAATTGGGTGTGTTGGGTTAGCTCTGACAAGCATGTCTCCAGTCAAGCTGTAGGCGAACGACAACGCCAAGCTCAAAACGACACGAATCAAAAGGGAGCCACTTTGAGCTCGGGTACTGCGCGCGCAGCTCTGCACCGAAAGAGATACTTGGAGGTTCATGGCACTTATTAACCAGTTATAACCGTACTTATGACCATACTAGGGCACTGAAGGGGCTCACAAGTGGGTTATAAGTGCAGTCATAATCAGCTAAGAAGTACTGTGAACCTCCAAGTAGCCTAGAAGGGAAAGCCCATTGGGATCCCTTCGCGCGTTGGGAGTTCCAGGTTCCGTTTTTTAGGTAGCCAATGCCAAACACAATCGAAAGGCCTCAGTACGGCATGGTTGCTGGGCTACAGCTGAAAATCTTCCCCTAAACCCAAAATCCTAAACCCTAAACCCTAAGCCCTAAACCCTAAACCCTAAACCCTCTTGAAGGCATGTGAAAAGCCAGCAAGTTGCTGCCTGCTGTTCAGCGCAGGACCAGCTCACCAGTGAGGCAGACAGCATGCCATCGCCAGCTCCTTCGGCTGCTCAGAGACACGTCCTTCTGAGACGGTTCGGAGCCACAGCATGGGCTTCGTGGGGGTTTAGGGTTTAGGGTTTAGGGTTCAGGGTTTAGGGTTTAGGGTTCAGGGTTCATGGGTTTGGGGTATAACGTGGGGCTCCAGGAGCCTCTTTCTTTTTGAGGTTCCATAGTTAACTATGCTGATTTGTTCAACTTTGAATGGCATACTGCCCTGACGGGTACTGCATTGGAGCCTTGAGGCAGTGATTGATGCGCAGCACGCAGAGGAACTGTCTGCACTCCCTCTCGCTGTTCTTCACGCGTGGCCTGCCATAGTCTCTTGTTGCCATGCAAATTATTTGAGTACCTACTCAATATTCTTTCAGCAGCCAACCTGCAGCCCGATACCCCTGTAATCCCTGGCCCCCTCAAAATTAGTTCTGTTGGGAAGGTTTAGGGTTTACGGTGCCCCTAAATGAGTAGGTGCCGAGTATACAATCGGCAACTTCGAACAGGACCTTAAATGGGCAAGGTTCCTAAGGGTTTGGCTCAACCCTACACCCTGCGTCCTGCACACTATGAAGCCTCTAAAGCCCCAGACCCCAAATTCCTTTCTCCCGCTATCAGCCTTGTCAGCCCAATCGAGCCTGTCAGGCCTACGCACAAGTCGTGTAATCCCGATGCCCTAGAAGCCATAGACTCTAAGAACCCTAGACCCTAAACCCTATCAAACCCTTGCCTATCAGAAGCCCTCTAACCCTAAGTCCGAATACTGGTAACTGGAAGCAGCTAAACCCGAAGTCCTACAGGCTGGAAACACTAAACCCTAAACCCTAAACCGAAGATCCAGGCTGACGCTGCTGAGGATGCGGAGCTCTTCGCTGCGCTGGACTCACGGCGCAAGGGTAAGTTAGAGAGAGAGAGAGAGAGAGAGTGCGCGCGCGGGGGGGGGGGGGGGGGGGGGGGGCCCTTTGGTTTCCTCAAGCCCCGTAGAAGAAGAAGACGAAGAAGAAGAAGAAGAAGAAGAAGAAGAAGAAGAAGAAGAAGAAGAAGAGTGTGTGTGTGTGTGGGCGCGCGCGCGCGCGCGCGTGTGTGCGCGAGTGCGCGAATGCGCGTGTGTGCTTGTGTGCGTGTGTGCGTGTGCGCCTGTGTGCCTGTGAGCGTGTGCGTATGCGTGTGTGCGTGCGTGCGTGTGTGTTCGTGTGTGCGTGTGCGGGCTTTCTTGCTTGAGCTTCAATCCACGGCTGAATCAGGGCTTAGACAGGGCTCTATAGGGTTCTTGGGATCCTAATGGGTTTCGGGTTTTGTGGTCCTGTAGTGAGTGGGCGAAACACCGTCCAGCCATGAGGGGGGGGTGGGGGGGGGGTTAGGGGTTTCGGCAGAACCCTTCAAACAAAAAAACAAACCCAGCAGCCTGAGCATCCAGAATTCCAAATGCCCTCAACCGCAAACTGTGGCTCCCGAAAGTGTCCCGTGCCAACAAGGGCCAGGGTATCTTGCTGCAATGCTCCCCAGACTTTAACCCTCAGACCCTAAATCCTAGATCCCAAGCCCAAAGCCCTACCTTTGTTGCAGATATCTCTTCACCCAGCTGAAAGGGCCTGGCAAGGTCACAACCTTCACTCCTAAATCCCAGGGGTGCCTGTAAACTGGGGCTCCTGTTGTTGGGTTTAGGGCTTGGAGAGTTAGGGCTCCTGAATTCAGTCTGAACCCCATTCTGGATGGCGTCATGAGGGCCCTGGACCCTAAACCCTAAACCCTAAACCCTAAACCCTAAACCCTAAACCCTAAACCCTAAACCCTAAACCCTAAACCCTAAACCCTAAACCCTGAACCCTGAACCCCTGAACCCCTGAACCCCTGAACCCCTGAACCCCTGAACCCCTGAACCCCTGAACCCCTGAACCCCTGAACCCCTGAACCCCTGAACCCCTGAACCCTAACCCTAAACCCTAAACCCGAAACCCAGGGGGCCCTGAATTGGGGGGGCAGTTTCAACATGTCAAAAGGAGAAGCTCAAGGGCATGATCTTCAAACTGCGCCTTGCCTCACAGCACCCAGCAGCCTGGCAGCAAGGCGTGCTCTCTGTCTTTGCAGGGCTTAGGAGTTTAGGGCTTATAGGGTTTAGGGGTTTAGGGTTAGGGGTTTATAGGGGTTTAGGGTTTAGGGGTTTAGCTGTTTAGGGGCTTAGGGGTTTAGGGGTTTAGGGGTTTAGGGGTTTAGGGGTTTAGGGGTTTAGGGGTTTAGACTTTTGGGTTTAGGGTTTGGGGTTTAGGGTTTAGGGCGTAAAGCATCGGAACCCAATCACGCCGACTTCGACAGGAGAATCAGAACCGAGCAGCCCAAGAAGGTACCTAACCCTTCAACCGCACGACATCATCTCAGCCAGGGTTTAGGGTCTAGGGATGTTGAGGGTTTAGGGTTTAGGGTTGCAAAAAGCTTCGATTGTGGTCGGGCCCGCCCTCAGGGATCATCCGAAACGCCTGCTCCCAATCAACGTGATGACCAGAGACTGTTTGCTGGATCTGAACCCCACGGCCTGACATGCTAAACTCCTAAACCCCGAAACCCAAAGCATCAAAACCTGAACCTACTCCCCTAAACCTTTTTGCATTCATCGATGTTCTTTATATATGTATTTTTTTCTATCCTCTATACATGGTATATATATATATATAGCCCTACATGTAACCCTGCCTATAACCCCCTCAACCCTCATCTCCAAAGATCCTTCTACCTTCTCCAAGGGATGCTACGTGGTGGGCCTGGCGCCTGCACAGGGCCAAGCGCAGACTCTGAGCGCCTGGCTGATGACCCCCGGCGACCCGGCTGGTGAATGTTTGGGAGTTTTCGGACATGAGGGCTAGTAGAGCTTGAGGCAGCTGAAGAGAGTTTATTTGGTGTCGCCCAGTCCCCCCCACATCCCCCGCTTCCCCCCCCCCCCCCCCCCCTGTAATTGGGGTGGGCGGGGGCTGTGGGGGGTAGGGCTTGGGGTTTGCGGGGTTAGGGTTTCAGGGTTTTAGGGTTAAGGGTTTTCAAGGTTTTGTGGGCTTTTCGTAGGACTTCAAAGGGTTAAGGGTTTGTTTAGGAAAGTTTAGGTTGCAGATGTGTTAGGGCTTGGGGTTTTAGGGTTCAAAGTGTTGGGCGGAGGCTTTGCGTGAAGGTTTTGGGAGTGGGGGGAGGTTACCATGGGGGGGGGTGGGACTGCTGAGGACTGGGGTCACCGGACACGGAACCATTCATGGGTGTGGAAGCTGTATGGAGGTTAGGGTTTAGGAGTCGGGTAGCTCGAAGATCGAAAGCAGTTGAAAGGGGTTCGGGGTTAAGCCCTAAACCCTAAACCCGAAACCCGAAGTCCGCCTGCTTCAGCCTGACAAACTCTTGACAACACAAAGCCCCCCAAACCCCAAAACCAGGGACATGCTGCGTGAAGTACGAACCCTGGGTGCCTTTGAGGGCCAAGGGGGCCTTGAGGCCCTATAGAAGGCCCGAAGATTCCCCAGGCCTCCTCCCAAAAGGGCCTTAAGGGGTTTAGGGTTTTAGGGGTTTTGCGGCCGGGCCGCTATAGGGGCTTATGGGTGTTCGGAGGCTTCAGGGTTTGGGGTTAGGATCCGCGCAAGGAGTCCTCTTTGAGATCTTCGCAAACTCCGCGCACGCCGCCTTCTGGCAGAATCCGGGGGGATGAGGAAGAACTAACAGCTCAGGGTTTAGGGTTTAGCGTTTAGGGTTTAGGGTCTTATCCTGTGGCATGCGAATCGATGCGCAGTGAAGCCAAAGCGACATCCCATGACACAAGCCGCTAAATTAATCACGGAGCTTCTGTGCAGCGACTTGTTGGGGTGGTGATAGGGGTGCGCATGCAGGTGCTGCTGGCTTCAGGGACTCTCTCGCCGCTGGCCTCCTTGCAGGTGTCTTTGGACAAAAACATAGGTTTTCTCAGGGCTAGGAGTGTTGCTGAACCCTGCACCCTAAACCCTAACTCTGCACCAGCAACTCGAAGACCCGAGAAGAAGATATCGGACTTAGGGTTTAGGGTTTAATTAGGGTTTAGGGTTTAGGGTTTAGGGTTTAGGGTTTAGGGTTTAGGGTTTATCGGACTTGCTTTACGAATGGTTATCCTGTTCAAGGACGAAGTTTTAGCTTCACGCGTGTACTCGCAACAGGAGCCTTGCATCGGGCAACTCTCCTATGAGCCACAATCATGTGTTTTATGAGATCGTTGAAGATCATTTGGAATCAAAATAAATCTGAGTCTCTTCGAATTGCCGGCCCAGAGAAGAGCTTGTCGAACTTGGAGACCTGAACTCCCCCCAGAAATTCCCGCAAACCCTAGACCCTCAGCCCTAAGCCTCACAGTCACAGTCGAAAGCCTAGCACATGAGCCTTATTCCCGAAAAGCCCAACCCTAAAATCACGAAAGCTAAGCCCTGAAACACCTCTACCCTAAACCCTAAACCCTAACCCTAAACCCTAAACCCTAAACCCTAAACCCTAATCCCTAATCCCTAAACCCTAAACCCTAAACCCTAAACCCTAAACCCTAAACCCTAAACCCTAAACCCTAAACCCTAAACCCTAAACCCTAAACCCTAAACCCTAAACCCTAAACCCTAAACAAACAACATAAACCTTACGTGCCAGGCCGAGCTGTCAGACTCACCCGCCATGGCTTGCCGAGCACTGGCCGAGGGCCCTCTTGAAGCCCTGTGCCTTGGGCTGGCTTCGTAGGGTTTAGGGTTTAGGGTTTAGGGTTGTGGGTTGTTTAGGGTTTAGGGTTTAGGGTTTAGGGTTTAGGGTTTAGGGTTTAGGGCTCATAGTGTTTTGGGTTTAGGGCTCATGGGGTTTAGGGTTTAGGGCTCATCGGGTTTAGGGTTCAGGGCTCATAGGGTTTAGGGTTTATGGGGTTTAGGATCTGAGGGTTTCTAGGATTTAGGGCTCATAAGGATCCGAGGTTGCTTCCCGCAACACACCCTACACCCTAAACCCTAAGCCGTAGTTCCGGACTGAAGGGGCAATGATACGAGGAGCAACCTTGACCCCGCAAACCGTAGAGCCTAATAAGACCCAAACCATCCACCATAAGCCGCAAATCCTGATAGAATGTTTGCGGCCTACATGCGCAGTAAGCCCTAAACCGAAACAAAGTTTCAGATTGAAGCATCCGAGGTTCCTCTTGAACCAGCCCCGGACGTTAACTAGCTTTTGAGTCCTGTCGGGGCCAACGATGGCCGCCCCGACGCTCCAAGCGCGAGTTGCAAAAGGACGAAGGGTTGGACGTAATGTGTTGTTGTAGCACGTTGAGATTTGGACCTGTTCCGGACACGCGGTGCCGCTGAGAGGCCATCGGAAGCTGCAAACCAGCAAAATTCACCAACAAAAACCAGAAAAATACACAGAAAAGAATTCCCGCCAGAGGAGGACGACAGGCAGAACCAGGAGGGCATGTTCTGAAAACCACAAGAAAAGCAAGAAAAAGCAAGAAAATTCACAAAAAAAAACAGAAAAATTGACAAAAAAAATCCTCGCTCCGCTCCGAATCGCGCTCCCATCCACGCGCGGTCTTGACTCGAGGTTTGCAATCGCCTGATTTGACCACTCCCCCACACACCATGCGCTCTGATACGTGACTTGTGGACTTGTAATGAGATTCTTAGTTGCCCAGTGGTACCCTTTATCCTTTTTTTGGTTACGGGTTCCCTTATAAAGTCAGTAACCCAAAAAAGGGTGCCCTTGTTGTAGTATGGTTACTGGGCTACTAAGGATTTAGGGGTTTCCGAATATATGATTCGGCCCCGGCGGCCCCCCCCCCCCCTACCCCCCCCCCCTACCCCCCCCCCCCTACCCCCCCCCCCTACCCCCCTACCCCCCCCCCCCGCCCAAATGGTATCCCCCCCCCCCCCCCCCCTGTGGTGTGGTTGGGGGTTGGTTTTAGGGTTTTAGGGTTTAGGGTTTAGGGTTTAGGGTTTAGGGTTTTAGGGTTTTAGGGTTTTAGGGTTTAGGGTTTAGGGTTTTAGGGTTTTAGGGTTTAGGGTTTAGGGTTTAGGGTTTAGGGTTTAGGGTTTTCCCCGCGGATGGGGTACTAAGATGATACCCCCCCCCCCTGTGGTGTGGTTGGGGGTTGGTTTTAGGGTTAGGGTTTAGGGTTCAGGGTTTTAGGGTTTAGGGTTTAAGGTTTAAGACTTAAGGTTTAGGGTTTAGGGTTAGGGTTTAGGTTTTAGGGTTTAGGGTTTAGGGTTTAGGGTTTGGGGGTTTAGGGTTTAGGGTTTAGGGTTTAGGGACCGTAGAGTAGACTTGGGGGGGGGGGGATACCATGGGGGGGGGGGGCCCAGGACGCTCGACGCTGAACCATATATGGGGTACGGTCCCTTAAGGGATTCTATACTATATCCCCTATATTCGGGGAAATGCCCGTTTCACTTCGCCTCAGGAAGGGCTGGCTCCCAAAGCATGCCAAGGCCGTAAATTCCTGGACCCCGTTCCCGTGCACGGTTTAGGCGTCCGGGTTTCCACGGGGCTCACCGCTTTAGGGTTTAAGTGCTTAGGGTTGAAGGGTTTAGGGTTTAGGGTTTAGGGTTTAGGGTTTAGGGTTTAGGGTAACTTTATAACTTACTGAGCAGAAGCTCTTGGGTGCGGCTCTGTCGTTTAAATCCTCACGCCCCAAGCATGCCTGAAGTCTGAACCTAACAGGAATTAGGGTTTAGGGTTTAGGGTTTAGGGTTTAGGGTTTAGGGTCAGTCGCAGGACGTCCCGACATCCCTCCCTTTACCCAAAACCCTGACCCCCAAACACCAAGACCCCAAACCCCAAAGCCCCAAACTTCCCAACTTCAGACAACCGCAAAACCTCCAAGACCCCCAAGACCCCAAGACCCCCAAGCTGAACCCCAAAAAACCCCCAAGCCCTATAATTCCGATGAAGGACTGATAGTATAGGGGGGGGGGGGGGGGACATCCCAGCCGAGACTTGAAGTGTTTCTTGAACTTAGGGTTTAGGGTTTAGGGTTTAGGGTTTAGGGTTTAGGGTTTAGGGTTTAGGGTTTAGGGTTTAGGGTTTAGGGCTCACACGCGAGGCACGTGGTGAGCTCCAAGCAAATGCTGGCTGCAGTGCTCCCTGCATCGGGGCAGCTCCGCTTGGCCGCTCGCCTCTGCCCCTATTTTGGTCTGCTTAGGGTGATATAGGGTTTAGGGTGTGGGGTTTAGGGTTTAGGGTTTAGGGTTTAGGGTTAGGGAATTTAGGGAGTTTTGGAGTTTTAGAGCGTTAGGGAGTTTAGGGTTTTAGCGTGAGGGCTTTTGGGTTTTAGAGCGTCAGGGGTTTAGGGTTTTAGAGTGTTAGGGGTTTAGGGGTTTAGGGGTTTAGAGTGTTAGAGGTTTAGGGTTTTCGAGCGTAAGGGTTTAGGGTTGTAGGGTCTGCAGTTTTAGAGTTTTAGGGGAGTGTTATCCGTTTTTGAGTTTCATGACCTCTGATCCCAAAAAAGCCTGGTTGTGTCTTTCCCTACATGGTCCACTTTTCGTACTATGCTCCCCTTCAATAACGTATCTACCGAAAACGAGGTTCAGACTTCCGGAATAATCCATGCACCCGCATAATTGCATCGCAACTATGGTTGGTGGCGGGTGCTTTTCTTCCAGCACCCACAAAAAACTTGCAAAATGCTCATGGGTTGATGATGAGAGCATAGGCCATCTTCTGCACCGTGGCCAAAAGATCACGTGCTGGTGCCAATTGGATCAAGGCTATGTTGACCAACAAGCGTTGGGTGACGCTCCGCATTCCTTCCTGACACAGCTCGGAAGATGGTAGCAATGCACATGTTCTCATCGGTTTGAATCAAGGGTGATCAACTATACTGCATTGTTGTCCATTCTTCCCAGTTGCACTTGTCAGATTATCAGATAAGGTCGGGATCCCTAGCATTGATATCAACCTTCCACGCCGGAACCCTCCACCCTTGACCGAAACCGAGAACATATTCCTGAACCCCCTTTATATATTAATATATATATATATATAGACTTGAAACCCCAAAGCCTCAAGTCTTAAACCCTCAAATCCTAGCTCATTCCTTAAGCCCCACACCTCAAACTTAATCCCCAAAGGGGCTTGGAGGATTTCAACACCTTCGGCTAGGACTCTAGCTTAACGCCCTCAAAGCAAAACTGTGCCTACACCCAAACCCTACACTCTCTATACCCTAAAGCCCTAAAACCCAGAATCTGAGCTGAGGTGGGCACCTACGACCAGTGGCACACGCAGGAGTTTCTGGAGGTCCGAAAGTGGGTGGGCTGTAGGGGATTTTTCGGGCTCATGAGCCGCAGCATCAACGGATTTGGGATTTTACTGTAGGGTTTAGAGGGTTTATGGGTTTTGAAGGCCTTCAGGATTTCAGGGTTTTTAGGGGTTTAGGGTTTACAGGGTTTCGGTGCATTTTGCGCGCAGGAGCTGGGCAACTGTGTGCTGCAGCTGATTTCCTCCATCCCCGGTGGGGTGCTGTGTTTTCTGAAGCTCGGACGCACAAGTCTAGGACCCCCTATGATGCCCCAACACTCTAAACCCGAAACCTCTAAACCCTAAACCCTATAAACCCTAAACCCTCACTGAGCCCTAAGCCCTCCAAACGTCCCAGAAGGCTTCGGGGGATGTAAGTTGTCGAAAGCGGGGACGAGGGAGAATTTGTCAGCTGGCCTCCTGGGTGTGGGGTTAGGGTTATAGGGTTTAGGGTGTAGGGTTTAGGGTTATAGGGTTATAGGGTTATAGGGTTTAGGGTTTGGGGTTTAGGGTTAAACCCTAAACCCTGGTTCAAGTCGTAATGGTTCGGAACAGGGCTTATAAGGATCAATGTTTGTGTACATGGCGGGATGCAAGGGGAGTAGGTAGTATGGGTCGCGTCCGACCTACCGTTAAGGTTTGAGCTACATCCCGAGGCTCAGGTGACCAAACCCAAGTTGCCCACACAAGTTTGTGTGAACTGGGCCTTCGTAGGGAGGGTAAAGCCTTGCGGTTTCCAACCCTAAAGGCTTAAAGCGTCTTCAGCCCTGAATGGAGTACCAACACTCCCCTAAACCCTCATTACTAACCCCTAACCCTAAAACCTAAACCCTTCACTCGCGAGTCTGATGGGTTCTGTGACTTGGGATGACCTTTCTGGATACTGGAAGGTTTGGGGTCACGCGCAAGCGTCGTCACTGTCACAGTTTCAGACAAGTGGTTGTGCTGCAATGACAGGTGATACTTATCTGTGTCCTATCTGTGAATCACGACGTGAGCGGGTGGAACTCTCGCAAAACCCAAGCAACCTAAACCCTGAACCCTAAGCCCTAGGTACGGTCTAAACTCTCAGAATCGACTTGGAAGGTTGATCAAGAATGAATGATTGGCCCCTTCTGTAGTACCATCGTGTTCAAAAGGAAAAATTTCTCAAAAGGCTCCCCCCAAAAAAGCGAACGGGGTCAATTTGGAATGCGGAAAAGTGTCAGTTTGGAACGTGGAAAAGTGTCAATTTGACACGCGCGTGATGTTAAAACCAGCGTCCCCGCAGTGGCTTGTGGTTGTTTTGACGGTTTTCTTTTTGAGGTGGTTTTCTGAGGTGTCTTTTTTGCTGAGCTGGTTGTTCTAATTAACCTGTGTTTTTTTCAGCGGGTTGTTTGTTTTTCTTTCTTTTCTGGCGCTGCTGGAAAGGCCGGCGGTTTCTCTACAGTGCTTTGCCCCAGAACGCCGCTGTGGTTTTTCGAAGGTGCGGCTGGACCGCTCTGGTGTTTCTGAGGCTGCTAGAACTGCTCTGGTTGTTCTACGGCGCCCTAGAACAACCGCTCTGGTTTTTTCTGAGGCGGTGGCCTGGAACAAGCGCTGTGGTTTTTCTAAAGCTCCTAGAACAACCGCTGTGATTTTTCTAAGGCGGCGCCCTAGAACAACCGCCGTGTTTTTTCTAAAGTGTGGCGGCTAGAACAACGGCTGTGGTTTGTCTAAGGCGGCGCCCTAAACAACCGCTGCCTAAACCCTAAACCCTAAGTAACCAACCCTAAACCCTAAACCCTAAACCCTAAGCCCTACACCCTTTAGGCCAAGCTACCAGACGGTGGAGCTGGTGACGGCTGCCTGGAAGCGAACACCAGCCTCGGGAGGTTGGACCAAAGAAGATTAGGCTTTAGGGTTTAGGGTTTAGGGTTTAGGGTTTAGGGTTTAGGGTTTAGGGTTTAGGGTTTTGCGGTTTGGGGGGGTTTTGGGTTATAGGGTTCAGGCCTTTTTTGAGGTTCAGGGTTCTTCGGTTTGGTGTTTTAGGGTTTTTGTGTGTAGGATTTGGGGTCGAGGGTTTGCCGGCGAGGTTTTTGGGGGTCGAGGGTCCACAGTTCAGGGCTTGACGCTTGAGGCTCGTTGGAGTTCAGCCCTAAATGCCAATAAGCCCTATAAACCTGCTAACCCCTATAACCCTAAACCCCAAACCCTAAACCCCACACCCTAAACCCTAAACCCTATATTATAACCCCCCAATCCCCAAACCCCAAATCCTAAACTCTAAACCCTAAACCCCAAACCCTAAACCCTAAACCCAAGCAGAGAAAAGGCTTCTGGGGGTCCATGAAGAGGTGATTTGTGTAGGCTCTCCCGGGGTCCTCGCCTCATGAACCCGGAGGATCCTCGTACCAATACTGAGATGGGGTTTAGGGTTTAGGGTTTAAGGTTTAGGGTTTAGGGTTTAGGGCTATGGTGTAGGGTTTAGGGTTTAAGGCTTAAGGTTCAGGGTTTAGGGTTTCGGGTTTGAGGTTTATGGCTTATAGTGACACCGTACACACCCCAAGAAGGGTCCACACTTTTTGATTGGACCGGGGTTGCCTACCTGCGTGCTAGTACCGGGCTTTGCACCGAAAGTGTGGACCCTTCTTGGGATGTGTACGGTGACGCCCTAACGGTAACTCAAAAGCCATAAACCTTAAACCCGAAACCCTAAAAACCCGAAACCCTAAGCCCTAAACCCTAAACGAGCAACTCAGAAGCCCCAAGCTCAACTACATATGAGCCCCTGAATGACAGAGCCTTGCTTGGTTCAGGGTTTAGGGTTTAGGCTTTAGGTTTTAGGGTTTAGGGTTTAGGGCTTAGGGTTTAGGGCTTAGGGTTTAGGGTTTAGGGTTCAGGGTGTTCCAATCGTTGGGTCGATCTCTGCCCCTCCTCACAGGCAGCCTTTGGCGAAAGATGGAGGAGGCATGTTTGGGTTGCCCAAGTTGTTAGATCATGGTTACTGAGCTACCAAGATGCTGACCCGGGATTCAGGGTTCAGAGTTGAGGGTTGCCAGCTGTTGCTCCTGGTCGGCAGGGAGAGGGAGGGAGGGAGAGAGAGAGAGAGAGAGAGGGCGGGCCTAGCGTTGAGGGGTTTAGGGCTTCGGGCTTTTGATTCGGAGGCTTTGGGGACGTCTTAGTACTTTCGATTGTCGGAAAAGCGCCATCCGACGGCTGCCAGATCGTTGAGGAACACTTTTGCAGCTTATATAGCATCAAGGATTCTAGAGATGTGTACTTTGGCAAACCCAATCGCAGACAGCCATTAGGTCCTATACTTCCCTGACCCCTACAACGGTTCAATCCTTCAAGGGTTTAGTGCTCAATTAATTCTTCAAGCATCGACTGTGGCTCAGGCAAAGGGCGTCGTTGTCTCGGAGCCTCGCGGGTCTGGCAAGGCGTGATGTATGAGTGCGTGGGCAGTTCGCTTAAAATCGCTCTTCTTTTCGGGTACCCGGATACAGGCGAGGGCCAAGGATTCATGCTTGGCCAACTCAGGGGAACAGAATTGCCTCGCAAGAGGTGGGGCTTGAATCGTGCGAACGAGAAGTAGGGTTTAGGGTCTAGGGTTTAGGGCTTAGGGTTTGGGGTTTAGGGCTTTGGGTTTTGGTTTGGGGTTTTGGGTTTAGGGTCACAGCACAGCCGTACCAGGAGATGGTGGAAACCTGCGCCACATTCATCAACAGCGCCGCGTCATGGGTTAGTGAGGCCATCAACCCAACCGGCCCACGTATAGGGTTTAGGGTTGAGGGTTTAGGGTACAGGGTTTAGCATTTAGGGTTTTGGGTTTAGCTTATCCTCCGCCTCCCCCCCCACCCACCCCCGGTCGCTGTCATTCCTCCTGTTGTTGCAGCAGTTGGTTGCTGTCACTGGGGCTGTGCATCCTCTTGAAATTCAGGTAGCCCTAAACCCTAAAACCATAAACCCTAAGCCCTAAACCCTAAACCCTAAGCCCTAAGCCCTAAACCCTAAACCCTAAAACAGGAAGGGGAGCGAAGGCCTTGCATGCCAGGAACCCTAAACCCCGAACCCTAAACCCTAAACCCTAAACCCTAAACCCTAAACCCTAAACCCTAAACCCTAAACCCTAAACCCCTGATTTGGGCCACAGGGATATGTGGGATCAGCTGCTCAACGGTATGCTGCACCAAACCCAGACCCCCTGGGAGGATCCAAATGTAGGTTTCGCAGCCCAAGTTCAGCCATGAATTTAACCGCTGGGAGTGGTGTTTGGTTACATCACGACCAGCCCCAGACAAAACAGTCCAGGCTCAAAACCCTTAAAAAAACGACAAGCCAAAGCTCAAGCAGCCTCCAAGAGCTGCATAATACTTCCGGGCGCGAGCCCGAGAGCGAAATGCCAAGAGCCCTCAGCCCTAAACCCAAGCACCCTTCCGACGGTGAAGCTGATACAGCCCATACTCAAACCCTAGAATCCCTAGAATACCCCAAACCGCCTAAACCATCAACCCTACACACCTGAACCCTCACCCTACCCTGTACCTCAAGGAAACTTTCAACCTCTCGCCCTAAGCACCCTAAGCCTTAAGCCCGACCGCGAACCCTGTCACCCCATGAGCCCTAGCAAGCCCTAATACAACCTACCCAAAGCCTTTCAACCCTGAAACCTACACACCTCTGACCGTCTAAGCTTGAAACCCGAATTGGGGGTTTACGAGAGTTTTTACCCCAATAAGTAGAGTAGAATCCCCTTACAGGCTCCAAAAAGGGTGCCCCTATTTTGGGAAACCACCACATGGTACCCCCAATACCGTAAACCCCCCGAAATTCGCACTCTCAGCCCCAGGTGTGCGCCGGGGTCGGGGGGCCTTGGCCCTCGCAGTGTACCGCGGGAAGCTGAGTGAAGGATCCGGCATAGGAATGTCGGGTTCCCAGATTTTATGGAGGGTTATAAGGTTTTTTGAGGGTTTACAGGGTTGATAGGGTTTATAGGGTTTACAGCGCTTATAGGGGATGCAGGGCTTTGTCGGGTTTATGGGAGTTTGTAGGGTTTGTATGGTAAAAAGAGCTGAGCTGAGGGCATGCGCTATAAGGTTCCTAAACACAGAAGTCCAAACCCCTAACCCAAACCAGCCAACCCTAAACCCTAAACCCTAAACCGAATCAACCCTAAACCCTAAGCCCTAAACCCGAATCTACAGCTCTTGTGCCTTTGGGGTTTAGGGCTTAGGGTGTAGGGTTTAGGGTTCCATGGTGTGGGTGGTTGGTTGGCTGGCTGGGACGGCCATTTTCAGATTGGCTCGCGCACAGGGAGCTTTGGTTCGAAGTGTTGTGTGTGTGTGGGTGGGTTGTGCTCAAAGGCTGCTCAAGCAAATGGACGTGCTTTGGGGTCTCCATACGATAGTTCTACTAGGTATACTCCTCATGCCAAGAGAGGCCCCATCATCTACATCAACACCCATACACTGCTCAGTCTTAGCATCACATCATCAGTTCTTAGGGGTTACTTGTGTGTAGGGGCAGACGGAAGTACTGCGGGGCAGTCCTCCTGAGCCAAGTATCCGGAGTCCAACGCAGCAGCAGGACTGGACTTCACCGATGACCTCTGTCGAGCTGTCATCTGCATTGGCATCCCCTATCCTATGGTGTCACCTGGCCCAGTCTACTCGCTCCAGTTTCGTATGCACTTGCATGTGGCGGGGGCGGGCCAAATGACCCCAGACCCCTCAACTCAACCAGGGTCCTCTTATGGCTCTCTGATTGCTTTCAAAGTGCTTTCAAACCGGGCCTCCCGCAACATCAAGATGTCCGTCGTGATTGGAGGATCCGATTCCCTAAACGCCCTTAATTCCTAAACCACGCCGAGGCTTGCTCCATAGGTCCCAAGCTTTTGGGCTTCGGGTCTTTTAGTCATGGTGCCTGCCAAGCCGAGGACGCCAAGCCTTTCGGTTGAGGAGGGTTTACGGGCTTAGGATTTTGGGGGGGTTTTCCCGAATACCCCAATTCCCAAAAGCTGAGAACCCCCACAGAATGATGGGTTCAAGAGGTAGGGTTTCGTGCTTGAGCGACAGTGAGGCCATGCACAGATGCCTTCCACCTCTGACAGGGCCACCCCCGACATTCTAACCCACTGACTTCTGGGAGGGGGAGGGGGGGGGGGGGGGGGGGGGTCGTTTTGGAAATAAACAAAACTGGCCACTTTCGGCTCAGGAACGATCCGGTGGCACCTTGGCAGTGCGTTGGTGAGCTTGGGAGTTATTTCGGGGGTGCACGGATCTCATCTTTAAGCCTCTGAGTGCCTGAACCTACAACAGCCAAGGAAGTGTACTTGAGATCGACACCTCAGTTTGCGGTAGTCTTCCAGCTAGCAAACGTCAGGGCTTGGCTGTAGCAAGCTCGAGTGAGGGTGTGCAGGGTGCGAAACCTAGCAAGTAAGCAAAGCCCCATATAGCCCAAAACCTTTGGGCCTTTCAAGCCAAAGTTGAAGTTGCACACTTATCGACCCTCGCCTCTCCAAGCTTTTTGGAGACTAAGACCCGCAGGGTGCTGGGATGGCAACGTAAACTTATGGGACTGGGTAGGTAACCTTTGACCTTTTTGGTCATATATAATCCTACTATATTGAAGAAGGTTAACCTTCTTTTGGCTAGGGGTAAAAACCCCCTATATTGGCTTCATCCTTGTGAAGTGGCATCTCTGCGCTACCTCTTGGCGCTCATTGTGAGCCAAGCCGAGCCCTTAAAACCCTAACATCCCTAAACACTCAACCCTAAACCCTAAACCCTAAACCCTAAACCCTAAACCCTAAACCCTAAACCCTAAACCCTAAACCCTAAACCCTAAACCCTAAACCCTAAACCCTAAACCCTAACCCTCAAGGGCTGAACGGCTAAGGTGCTAGCAAAACGGCAGTGGAACGACTCACGCCCCCGGAAGCCGGGAACTCTCACCGGCCTTCTGGCCTCAGGAGGGTCTTAGTGCTGTAGGGTTTTAGGGGTTCCGGGATTTAGGGTTTTAGGGTTTAGGGTTTTAGTTCGCGTTTTAGGGCTTTAGGGACTTAGGGTTTTAATAGGTGTTTTAGGGTTTTAGGGACTTAGGGTTTAGGGTTTTAGGGTTTTAGGGTTTTAGGGATTTAGGGTTTTAGGGATGTAGGGTTTTAGGCTTCCGGGATGTAGGGTTTTAGGGTTTTAGGGTTTAGGGTTTTAGAGTTTTAGGGTTTTAGAGTTTTAGGGTTTTAGGGGTTTACGGTTTAGGGTTTAGAGAGTTTTAGAGCTCTAGGGTTTCGGGGATTTAGGGTTTTTGGGTTCAGGGTGTAGGGTTTGGGTTTAGTTCGGGGCGTTGAGGTCAAGGTTTTACTTACCCCGAAGGTATAATGAGCGCGCAAGCAAGGTGACCAGTGGTACGAGCAGCAAGCCTACCGAGCGATCAACCAGGCAGCGGTGTCACAGCACGCTAGTTGGGGCTCAGGGCCATATGCTGCGCTTATGTATTTTGTAAAATCCGATGGTGGTTTTTGTTCGTTGGCAGAACATGTTGGTGGAGCCTCAGTTCGGCGAGGATGATGTAGGGTTTTTTTCCAGGTTCCCCCACATCTCGGCAACCCTAAACCCTAAACCCTAAACCCTAAGGCTGCGTTTTCTGAGAGACCGCCAGGCTCTTGGGCGCTGCTTGCGGCACCATCAAGACTTTGGCGCTGTGTTCCCCGGCATGGCTAAGTGAGGCTTCAGGGTTTAGGGTTCAGGGTTTAGGGTTTAGGGTTTAGGGTTATTTAGGGTATAACTGCTGAGTTAGGCTTAGGGCCTGGAGCTTTGAAGGGCTTAGTCATAGGGTTTAGGCACGGTTTAGGCCATGCATATGGCTTATGACCGTTTAGTTGTGGATTTCATCGCTTGTGCCGTGGTTCAGGTCAGAACCCAGTCATTGAATGCAAGCTCGGAGAGCAACTTGAGGGCGTCAAGCAAGACATGCAATGCGGGTTTCTTACGCCCTGTTCCCAGCTCGCTTAAACCGAGCGCTGTAGCATGCACCTTGGTTTCGTTTCGGCCGGGCCTTCTGCTCGCGGGTTTTGCTTCTGCTTGCTCACAAGTAGTGCGGAAGCTACTGAATTGTTCCCAATATGTATTGAGCACAGACATGTAGGGTTTCTTACTGATGGAAAGCTGCTGGCTGAAACCACGGTGGCAACAATAGACAGATATGTCAAGCGACTTAGCTACTAAGCTATCGCATTTGAGGTCGGGTAATTGTATGACAGACCATATGATTCTGAAAGTCTAAGCTTAGGGTTTGGGGTTTAGGTTTAAGGTTTAGGGTTGAGTTCTTGGGCTGTGGAGATCGGTTGATGAGAGCGCGTTCCAGGTACGTAGTCACGCAGTCGGAATTTTGTCCGGCAATTTGAGTTTTTGTTTACATGCACATGTGAAGAAAAGACTCCAAGCACAACGCCGGCAACAGTACTAGCGAGAATGTTCGGGGAGGGGATTGACGGCTTGTGACGTTCGGAAGGGCTTAAAGTTTACGTGGGGCCTTCCAGAGTGGTTCGCCAGGATTTTCGAGAGCCATGCCTTCCCCTTACTCTCCCAAAAACCTTAAACACGGTTTAGGGTTTCTTCAAGCCCCAAATCCCCTAAACCCTTCTAAACCCTAAACCCAAATGGGTGTAGATTGCAGGGGTCCCATCAACCCCCCGCTTCCCCCCCTTATCCAGCAATACACAGGCTCCTGCTTGATGCACGGTGGGCATCCCGCGGGGAGAAAGCTCGAGGCGCGGGTCGGAGTCTGAGGTGCTTTAAGGGGTCTGTTTAGGGGTTATAGATAGGATTCAGCGGTAACGGGGCTTTAACACATCCCGTTGAAGCTCCAGGTGACAGAGAAGAAAAGTGACAGGTTGCAAAGCTTCATCTAAGGCCTATAAGGAGTTACCTCCAAGCCCCCGAAAGCCCTGCAAGCCCCTTTCAACTCCTTTGAGCTCCGCTTGTCAGCCCCTTTAAACCCCAAACCCCTAAACCCAAAAACCTTTTGGGGTCTAGGGTGCAAATACAATACATAGGCTCACAAAACCTCTTGCAGCTAGCAGAACCTAATTCGCCAAAATAAGCCTAGATTTGAAGCCTGTAAACCCCAAACCCAAGCTAGCCCTACACCCTAAGCCCTTTCAAACCCTAACCCCTAGACTCCATAAGCCCTAGACTGTAGGGTTTGCGAGAGATGACGAGGCCTGCGGAAGCACCTGGCTCCTTGGCTCCAGCGCCACGTGATCGAATCGAAGCTGGACTGAGCATTCAGAGATTGTTTGGGGTTCACGGTTTATAAGGGTTAGGGTATAGGGTTTAGGGTCTAGGGTTTAGGGTTTAGGGTCTAGGGTTTAGGTTTAGGGTGAGTGAAGCTGTTGCTAGGAGGGCTCTTCGAAACCCTACTTGAACACCTCACTCACAGCGCCGGTCCAGACTTAGTCTTGCACTTAACTCTGTCATAGTTGGGTAACATTTTACATTTTCAAGGGTACTTAAACCCAATAAGGAATAGACATTTAGTTTTTTAATATTATCCCAACCATGAACTAGTTAAGTTTCTGAAAACTTTACATGGCTTCGGAAGTCTTCCTCTCGACAAAAAACTCTGAGTGGACCCTTTGGATCTAATCTACAAGCGATGGAATTGGAGATTCAGGTTGGCAGTTCAGGGCCCTGAGCCCCAAACGAACCCTAAACCGGCCGTGGGGGTTTTTCTGCTGCCCCTGTGGATTCGCTCGGACTTCTTGCCACTCATGAGCCCCTGTGGCCACGAACACCCTGCTCCAAAGACCTCAACCAAATACATAGTTTCCAAACAACAGGCCCTCGTTCATGCCCCAAATGTATTCGAAGCTCCTTAGAAGGACACCAAAATGTGACCCCAAGTTTTTGGGTAAAACGTAAACCTCAAACCCGAAACCATAAGTCCTGAACCCCAAACCCCAAACCCTAAACCCTAAATCCAAGTGTACTCGTTAAGGTCCAACTGCCGCGACCTGGCATGCCGCCTGCGAGTGCACTTCCACTCTGCCGCCAGGATCGGTGAAGTGTTAAAGTAAAGAGGAACTCAAGCACCCTAGGGTTTAGGTTTTAGGTTTTAGGTTTTAGGGTTTAGGGTTAGGGTGTAGGGTTTAGGGTTTAGGGTCCTAACACCATCGCCCTACTCTTGCCGGCTCTTAGCTGACTCGGGGAAATTCCTCACCGCCCTGACATGTCTCTACGTAGTCTAAGTGTGTTTTTTACAACCCCAAAACCCGAAAACCCTAGACTCCAAGCCCTAACACTCCAACACAAACAGCATAAAACAAAGCACATCCTGGGGAGTTGTGTGGCCGAAAGCCAGGATGCCTCCTGACCAGCCTCGTGCAAGCGCGGCAGAGGTGCGAACCCTAGACCCTAAACCATACTAAGCCTAAAGCCGAGTTAAACCCTCAATTCTGAGCAATACATGCTGATGGACTGTTGCTTCGGAAAGTTAACGTCGTTGTATTTCATTGGTGGGACTTTCTTTAGGATCTTAAGGCCTTGGGCAGCTTGAACCTCCCAAACCCAAAAACACCTTGACGGTTCGGGTCTTGATGACACTTTGGAGGGTTTTAGTGTTTTGGGTTTGGGGTTTAGAACGGTTTGTAAGGATTGAAGGCTTTAATTGCGCGGGCTCAGCTTACCCGTGCAGCGCGGACGAGCCCGCAGACGTCCATTGTAGCACCTCTCCGTAGTAGTGGTCGCATAGAAGAATGTGTTGTCGTCGCCATGGTGGTAGAAGAAAGAACTGAAGTAGAGAGTACCAGTAGCATAGTAGAAACAAACTGGCAGCCGCCGAAACATGCCGAATCCGAAGCTCGTATTCGCGGAGGTGCACGCAGCCCCGAAGCAAGTGGCCGCGCCGGAAGAGGCCCAGAGGGGCAGATGCATTTTCCGAACAATTTTTTTTTTTTGGGGGGGGGGCTTTGTGCAGGATAGGAACCCTGGCAGAAGTATTTGGGTACCACCGGTACGTTCGCAGCCAGGAGCCCTCTACTTGCTCACTGAGATTACCTACAACTGGGCGTTGTTCTGTATCTTAAACGGGTCCAGCCCCCAACTTCCTCAGGTCTTTTGGTGGTTTAGGGCCTTCTGGGGCTTTATGGGCTTTAGGGTGGACATGCTTCGTCTCCCACAGCAGGCGAACCCGCCGCCACCGAAACGTCGGCTGCTGGACTTGCTCGAGGCGGGCTTTCTGCGGCAGCTCGCAGGGGGCACGAAATCGGGTTTTAGGGTTTTATCGGGCTGTGGGATGCCATGTGTTAAAGGGTACACAGTGATCAGAGCTACCTACACAAAGGGTGCCGAAGAACAACCTCCATACACCCCCTGCGGCTCAGCGCAGTGCTTGCCTCAAACCTGAAAATCAGTCCGCTATAGCTGATAGAGGCAAGGATGCCTTCACGACCTAGGGGTACGTATGAACCTCGGTGTTGTTCTTTTGGGCGGGGTGAGGTGGTTCCCGATTCCATTACTAGTTAGAAGGCCCACTTCCCTGGCTTTCAGAGTGCCAGGGTTTAGGGTTTAGGGTTTAGAGTTTAGGGTTTAGGGTTTCGGGTTTAGGGTCTTCGTGGTCTTGGGTGGGGAGGGGGGGGGGGCTTATAAGGTGTGGCATATTCGCCCACCCAGTAAGTCCGAAGTATCCGCTTTTTCGGGTGTAGGCTCTGAACCCTAAACTCCATACCACGCCCTAAACCCCAAACCCGAACCCAAAATTCTCCTGAGGCCGATGTGGCGACAAAGCGCTGTGCTCCGGGAGATCAGGCGTTGACAGGCGTGAAGTTCGGATTTAGGGTTTAGGGTTTAGGGTGTAGGGTTGAGGGTTTCTTGTTTAGGGTTTGGGTTTGAGGGTTCATGTGGGCTTTACGGTTGAGGGTCTACGGTTTTATTGTGTGTGTAGGGCTTATAGGCCTTGTTTGAAGTGTTGAGGCCTATTGGACCAGGTTTGGTGCAGAAGTTAAGGGGCTTCTGGACACCAAGCCAGTCCTCACCGGCGCAGCCCTAAGCCTTCCAAACCCAAAACCCAAAACCCTAAACCCTAAACCCTAAACAAACCCCAAGCCCCAGACCCGTAAAAAGGCCCTCCACCCCTCTGCAACACCTGGGCCGCAGGTCGCGCTTGGCATCCGGTAGCGCCTCTCCGCATCGGCTTTTGACTATGCCTGTGCCATCAGCTGTTTAGGGTTTAGGGTTTAGGGTATAGGGTTTAGGGTTTGGGGTTTGGGGTTTAGGGTTAAGGGTTTAGGGTTTAGGGTTTGGGGTTTGGGGTTTAGGGTTTAGGGTTATTGAAGGTTTGGAGTTGACTACCGGAGCCGTCTCCTGATCCAAGGTGTGTACTGTCATACGGTGGATATAGGCAGCGACTGTTCGAGTGGTAAATTTCTTTGTCACGGATCGCTGTCGAGATGGACTATGGTCAACCTGTCCCTAAGAAGAAAGTCCAAGGACAATTCAGTTAGCAGCTTTTCCGTACTGGCTGTTTCCACAGCAGGTAAAGTTGTCTGAGAGGGCCTCATATCATGGTTTCTGGTCTTCCGGCTTCTGGTGGCTCACTCCCTGTTAATTCGGTGTCAGCTGATGCTGGCCCGGTTTGTGCAATGCAAATTCGGTATCTCCCTGCACTAGTGCAGCCTGGGTTCGAAGAGCCAGCAGTGCGCGGGGCATCTGCCGGAGGGCTCCTGATTCCTGCGCCGTGAAGGATCTTTCTAGATCTGTACAACACAATGGGACCAATGATGCTTAGAGGACCGGGCCCTTTTGCCTATAATGAACAGCGGTTCCCATAGCTGTGTCAAGTGTTGCTCACCCCCCTTATGAAGGCCTCAGCACGGCCCAAGGCTCACAGGTCATTGGGATTCCTGATAGGAATTCCCAATCGTAGCAGGGGAGCGAATCCCCATATGACCTGAACTCATCGGCCCCTGTGTGAGGTTTAGGTCCCTAAACCCTAAACTTCCTAAACCCTAAACCCTAAACCCTAAACCCTAAACCCTAAACCCTAAACCCTCGTTTACAGCTTGGACCACCAGGTTCCTGAGCCAGGAATGAGAGAGCTCGTCTCTTTGAGAACATGGCTTCTGCAGGACGGACTTGAGTTTTTATTCAGAAGAGCAGCAGCCGCTAGGGATGAAATGAATCCCTGAAGCCCTAAAAACCCTGAACCCTAAACCCTGAACCCTAAACCCTGAACCCTAAACCCTGAACCCTAAACCCTAAACCCTGAGCCCTAAATCCTAAACCCTAAACCCTATAACCCTAAACCCTGTAGCCCTACACCTTATAACCCTAAACCCTACAACCCTAAGCCCTAAGCCCTCTAACCCCAAACCCTGAACCCTGAACCCTCAACGAGACGTTGGGCTGACAAGGAGGGCTCCCGGACCTTTAGTTTTTTCTCGTAAAGGTGCCTTTGCTTCGGACATCTTCCCCCCCAACAAAATGAAGCTAGGGTTTAGGGGTTTTGGGTTTAGGGTTTAGGGTTTAGGGTTTAGGGTCCCCCTCCGAGGCGTCAAAGCCAAGCGCCTTCGGGGCCTGAAATTGCTGCCTCAAGCACCTTCATAACCCAGATTCTTACCAGGAGGGGCTAGTGCACCTCGAATCCCGGAAGCCTATGTTTTCGGCCCTTTGTAAGGATGAGCTTGGGGAGTACAGGGGCTACCCCAGAAGCTAAAAACGGTCCTAGAGCATCCCTTGCGGGCTGCGACAGTGGGATCAGCTGCTTTGACTTCAGCACGTCGGGCCGGAGGAACACCTGCTTTTTGCTTACTTTTTCTTCAAGGTGTCGGAGGATCTTAGGTTCGAACTAGAGAATTCAGCGACTATGCGCTTCATTCCCTGATTCCCTGCCAAGAACAAGTGAGTTTAGGTTCTATACAGTAGACCCAAACCTAAGACCCTACGCCATCTGCGGATTGGGATTTCGGCTGTGGGGGTGTAACGGGGTTCGCTGTTTCGAGCTGGGCTTACCGCTGTGACATATGTTCCCAGGCACACTTTCGGATTACCATTCATGAGTCTTTTGCTAGCAGGAATGGCGAATGAACCCCCAGCAGTTTAAAGGTCGCGCTGGAGGTGCAGTGCATATGTGCAGCTTCAAGATAAGATAGAATGCAAACTATTGACCTCACAATCCTGCTTTTACCTAGAGCGAGTATACTTCGAAACCTGTGGATTTGCTTGTTCATGCACAAGACGTGCGAGCATCAAGCTCCGCAACTCGTAGTTGCGAAACGCCCCTACTTCTACTTCGTCTCGGCACATCCAAAGAACTCACTCTTGCGATCTTGAACGCCCCTCCCTTCAAGAGGCCACATCCCCCAACTTTCAAGCTAGAGCCTAATGTAGCCTCACATCCGAACTTATTAGTTCTCCGTAAGGGGTTGTATATGGCAGCTACTTCCCCAATTCCGGTGAAGCCAGTTGAGCCCTATAGCTGCTCAACCCAGCCAGCACCCCTAAACCCTCAACCCTAAACCCTAAACCCTACACCCTCAACCCTAAACCCTAAACCCCAAACCCTAAACCCTAAACCCTAAACCCTAAACCCTAAACCCATTTTCTGATTCCAACCGGGCTCTCGAGGTCATGTCTTCCTCAGCAGCTGGAGCTCTGGGAAGCATGCTGGCAAAGTCGTCTCCCGCAAGGCGTGGCGTTTCAGGGCTTTGGGTTTAGGGTTTAGGGCTTAGGGTTTAGGGTTTAGGGTTTAGGGTTCAGGGTTTAGGGTTTAGGGTTTAGGGGGCTCCCAGATGACTATGGTTTCAGTGTAGGCCACCGACGGGGCAGACGCTCATGAGAATGATGTGACTCAGAGTGCGGCATGCAGCACCTGGCAGGGTGCAAGCTGCCAAGTACTTTTCCAAAGCCCGGAAGGTTGCCACACACTACTACTAGTTGCTTAAGAACCCCCCCCCCCAAAAAAAAAAAAAAAAAAATCCCTGTACAACCCTTAATCAGGAAGAATATTTGTTGTGTGTTTACAAGGTTCTTAAGCAATTAGTGGACAAACAAGGCCATCTACGTTGTCAGAGTCGCCGTCGTTGAGGAAACCAGGCCCAGGCAAGCGACAGGTTATGAGGCACCCAGGTGCCAAGGGAGTGAAGCAAGGTCTTGTAGCTCACGTCTACGCCTGAACCCTACAGCCCTAAACCCTAAACCTTTTAGACTTTTAAACCCTAAACCCTAAACCCTAAACCTTAAACCTTTTAAACCCTAAACCCTAAACCCTAAACCCTTAAACCCTAAACCCTAAACCCTCAATCTTTCAGGGCTGAGCTCCCAAGAAGCACCAGCAACCCTTCAAGACTTTGCCAAGAGGCCTCCAGAAGCTGGCGGGGCCCAGGCCTTCCCGGCTTTAGGGCTTAGGGCTTCGGGTTTAGGGTTTAGGGTTAGGGTTTAGGGCTTCGGGCTTAGGGTTCAGGGTTAGGGTTTACAGGGTGTAGGGCCAAGTGTTTGGAGTTTGGCGCTTTGTGGTGTTTAGGGTTTAATTGTTGTTTCTTTCTCTGTTTGGAAGAGGGAGGGCGGGGGGGGGAGGAGGAGGAGGAGGAGGCGTTTGGGGGTTAGTTTTGGGGGGCTTTTTGCCCTAGGCCGTAAAATCGAAATTTCAGGGTGGTTTTTGTTGGCGGGGTGTGGGGTTTGAAGGGAGTCGGGAAGTGTTGTTGGGATTCGGGGACCGTAAACCCTAAGCCCAAACAATTTAGGGGTTAGGGTTTAGAGTTTGGGTTTGGATGTTTCCTCCCCCTTATGCTAACAGTCCTTAATGGGGATTACTATTGCTATAGTCTCGATTAAGGACTGTCAGCACAGGGGGGAACATCTCCCTAGTTTAGGGTTTAGGGTTCGTAGGTTTTACTGTAGGGTTTTGGGCTTGGCTGGGGACCCGGACTGTTAGTATAAGGGGGAGCACCCCAAGCAGAGCCCCACTTGAAGCCCTCTAGGAACTGCGAAGCCTAGCAATCCTCAAAGCTCAGCGCGCTCGCGCCTTTCCTCGGGATCGGATCCCTAGCTCCGACCTGCTTTCCACTTGTTTCTGCCAGGTGACATAATGACCTGGGAACCAACAGCCTAATGCACCCCCCAAACTTCGAACACCACGAAACCCTAAGCCCTAAACCCCAAACCTTGAACCCTAAACCCTAAACCCTAAACCCCTAGTTTCCGAAACCCCTCTATAAGACGCCCAAGCAGCTCCTGAGGACAGTGGTGCGCCTTCAGCGCCCGCAGCATCAGAACCCACACCGAAGAAGTCGCTGGCTCGGGGTTTGGAAAGTTTAGGGGGGGGTTTAGGGGGCTTTAGGGGGTTTAGAGGGTTTAAAGGGTTTAGGGTTTAGGGTTTAGGGTTTAGAGGGTTTAAAGAGTGTAGGTAGGTTAGGGGGTTTAGGGAGCTTAGGGGGGCTCTCTGGAGTCTAGGGTGGCGCCCTCAGAAGTAGGGATGGCTTTGGTCACGGCATATGGCTGAAGTTGAGGGTTTAGGGTTTTCGGGTTTAGGGTTTTCGGGTTTAGGGTTTCGGGTTTAGGGTTTCGGGTTTAGGGCTGATGTAGCACAGTCTAGGGGCTGTA